GAGAAAATGGGCAATTTGCTCTATGGAAACATAGACAGGCAGGGACAGGGGCCATAAGACATCTACTTAACTCATTCCTATATGTTGAGTAAGGGTTGTCTGTAATCCCTCCTACCCTCAAAACAAATCAGGAGCTATTGACAAAATACCTGTATGTACATCTGGCAAGGGCAATGCCATTGACACCACCATGGATATCAGCATCACGTGTGAAAAGCATTTTCTATTTAAAACTTTCAGAAATCACTACTTAGCATCCAAAGATTTCTCCCTCTAAATGATCAGAGAATAATATTTTTTTTACTATATTTAAAGGCAACTTACTATTTAAATTTCTTAGCCTGCAAAAATAAGACATCATTTTATCAGGTCCAAGTTGTTTGGAAAATTATAGTAATATAATATCTGCATTTTTCCCATGAGATATTTGATGTAAATTTGCATTCATTGTGCCCAGCCAGCGTGGCTCTGTGGTTGAGTGTCAACCTATGAACCAGGATTTGATTCCTGGTCAGGGCATATGCCCAGGTTACAGGCTCAATCTCCAATATGGGGCATGCAGGAGGAAGCGATCAATGATTCTCTCATCATTGATGTTTTTATCTCTCTCCCTCTCCTTCCTCTCTGAAATCAATAAAAATATATTTAAAAATAAATAAAAATTATAGTATAGGAATATAACTACTTTTAAAATTTTGCATTCTTTGTGACAGTAATGATTCTACTGACTTTATTTATTCTACAGTTTCCACTTTTTGAAGGAAACAAGGTCTGGCAATTTCTCTTAGAAATGATTGTTACTAGAAGGTCTGGTGAGTCTTTGTAAGTCTGTTTGTAGAGTTGGTAGTTTGTTTCTTTTGGAGTTTCCAATTTTAAGAGCCAAGACATAGCCTATAATCTAAATTTGAACAACTAGTCTCATCAGATATGCTTTTAGAAGAATAAAGATTAAAGATTAAGCAAATCTCAGTCCAACTGAGAAAGGGGGAGAGAGAGAGAGAGAGAGACAGAGAGAGAGAGAGAGAGATTTAAAAATCAGTTTGATGCCCCAATCCTATGCCAGAGGGACTCATTTCAGTGTGTCCACTGTGGTTCCCGAGCAGGCCCATGCAGCCAGCTCATGAATTAGACTTGCTCCTTAAGCAAATAAGCCCATGTTAGCACTATAAGCCTGTTATCCTTTGGAATGGATCCTGAAATTTGATTCATTTTTGTTTGAGGCTTTGTTTAGTGGCTCCTAATGACAGACTCAAAATACTTGACGTAGGAAACTGAGAGCTTCTCGGGGCTGAGGAGATGAAGCTAGAAGAAAGAAATGGGCAAAAGAAATGGAGCAATCTGTAAAAGACAGCCTGGGAGGGGAAGAGCAAGCTGCAAGAAGAATTCTTCTACAGGGCTTGGGGCTGGCACCTGCGAGGCCTGTTGCCTGGGCCACACGAAGCTACTAACACAGTCCCTGTGAAGTTTGGCTGGCTTGGAAAAGTGCAAGCTGACCACACTGACCACTGGTCAAGAGCCCTGCAGTAGCAGCAGCAGCCATCTCCAAGCCACAAATTCCAGACAGAGTGGCTAGCACACTTCTGGGAAACAGAGCAACAGCTGATCTGAACTCCCAAGCACAAACTTGGGAGAATTAAGGGTGTGGTTAACAATCCCCATATTAATAGATGAAGACTAAGTTGTCCTTTAGATTTGCAGCCTTAGATCAATCCATCGAGACACTAAGTCTATTTGAGAGTTGTGTTCTGCTCTACTCAAGTACTTCTTGGCCACCTAATCGGTCACAATATAGAAAATAAGAGTCAAAATAAGCATGACATACCCTATCTGGTTTGGTTCAGTGGATAGAGCATTGACCTGTGGATTGGAGGGTCCTGGTTCAATTCTGGTCAAGGGCACATGCTCAGGTTGTGAGCTAAATCTCCAGTACAGGGTGTGTAGGAAGCAGCCAATCAATGATTCTCTCTCATCATTGATGTTTCTCTCTCTCCCTTTCCCTTCCTCTCTGAAATTAATACACACACACACACACACACACACACACACACACACACACTCTAGAGGCCCGGTGCATGAAATTCATGCACTTGAGGGGGGGGGGTCCCTCAGCCCGGCCTGCACCCTCTCCCAGTCTGGGAGCCCTCAGGGGATGTCCAACTGAAGGTTTAGGATATCCTTAGCACTGCTGCAGAGGCAGGAGAGGCTCCCGCCACTGCCCCTGCTGCGCTCACCAGCCATGAGCCAAGCTCAGGGCTTCTGGCTGAGCAGCACTCCCCCTGTGGGAGTGCACTGACCACCAGGGGGCAGCTCCTGCGTTGAGCATCTGCTGCCTGGTGGTAAGTGCATGTCATAGTGACCGGTAGTTCCGCTGTTTGGTTGATTTGCATATTAGCCTTTTATAATATAGGATAATTGGTGCACAACTTACTTATTATTCTACTAGAGGCCCAATGCAGGAAATTCATGTGAGGGGCTTGGCCCTCGCAGCCCTGGCTTCACCTGGAAGGTCATCTGGAAGGACATCTGGAAGGTCGTTTGGCTGTCCAGTCTAATTAGCATATTATGATTTTATTATTATAGATTTTTTTAAAAATCACATATTCAGGGTTGGTAGATATGCTGCTTGGGTGAAATGGAGATAAAGGTAGGATGCTGCCAGAGTGTCTGACTGAAGACTGCCTCTTTTCCCTGAAGGCACATATGTGAACCTATAGAAGGTTTTGAACAGGTAGGTAATGGGATGAAAACACGGATCTGACAGCAGAGTCAGGGAGAACAGGAGAAAGAAAGCTGAAATAGTGGATGCAGGAGTCCAGTTTGATTTCTCTAAGCTAGAAAACAGAATGTAGGGTTTCTAGGATTGTTGTGAGAACCAAAGGTGATGTTTGACAAAAGGCCAACAGCACGTAAATATCAGTTTCCCCTTCTAATGGGGGCTGGTGTGGTGGCAGTGGATATAAAGTATAAATGTAAGAGATATTACTTGAGAAAGAGCACAACTTTGGCAAATACTTGGATATCAGGAATTTAGAAGAGAAAAGGAACCAGAGGAAAGCTGGATTTTTTAATTTGAAAAATCAGGTCTGAAGTATGGGATGTGGGCAGGAAGAGTTCTAGTTTCGAGAGAAAGATGAGTTGGTTTTTGACTCTGAATTTGGATTTGAGATATTATAGGGACAACAGATTCAAGAGTCCCTGACATAGAGGTGAAATCGGAAGTGGATCTGCCTCGGGGCTCAAGTTTTCATGCCCTCACTTTCCCTGGACACATATCTAATCTGGTGTTGAGTTTGTAAGCATTTTTTAAAATTGTTTTTCTTTAAAAAGTTCCCTCAAGAGTTACACAAGCTTCAGTCCCCACAAAACCTGGACCCAGCCAGCTTGAAGTCAGAAGCAATGCCATGGGATAATGGGAGAGAAAGGGTTGGAAGAATCCAGTTACTGTCCTCAAAGGATGAGACGGGTCAGCAGAGGAGGCCAGAGAGGCAGAGAGGAGGCCTGCAGGCCAGGGTGCTGCAGGGAGATCAAAGGAACGCTGGCTGAGGATGGGTCAGTGGACTTGACCTCTTAAAAAAGTGACTGATTTTAGCACACACTCAGTATGGGGTCGGTGGGGGGGGGGGGGGGGCTCAGGTTGGAGGGAGGCTTGAGGAGTGGAAAGTGTGCGGTGGGTGCCTCATCTCAGGAGGCTGACATAAAAGACTTTTCACTTTTGCCTCTATAGTCAGTGTTCCTTTAGGATTAATATTAACTCCCCCTGTCTTTCTGTTTTATTACATTTCCTACTCCTGGAGATTTTCTGTGGTCTTAGTTGGATCGATTTCTCTTCATAGTTAGTGTAAGCCTGGATAACTGCTAAGAAATGGGCTGTTGGCTGGGATGGATTTTGTTTTGGGGATTTTTTGTTTTGTTTTGTGGCTACCCTAATAGATTCTCTTTTCTATCCACACGTAGGTCGTATATTCTGTCCTGGAGTTCAGGGGCAGAGACCCAAGGTGGAGAGGTGAGGCCATCAGGCTGCTGAAAAAGCGTTATCTGGGCTCACCTAGGCAAAGGTAGTGATGACTTCATCGCCACTGAGGGCGCCACCCCACTCCTGCAGTTGACTTCCCACCAGCCGGTTGGCCCGGATAGGTTTTCTTGGACTCCTTTCCCATTGCCGGGCATTACTAGTCACTTTGAAAAATATGAGATTAAGCTGTTCTCCCGTTTCTTCCAGTGCGGAGCCTTTCCCAGACACCGTCAGTTCCTATAACGAAAAGGTTCCTGTTATAGTCACCACTGAGAAAAAAAAAAAAAAAGTAAACTTACAGGTTGGCAGGCCCGAGCCCAGAGAGGAGCTGACCTTTGGAAGCTCCTTCGCGGGCTGGGACCATCCACCCAAGCGCTGCCTGGTGCTCCAGGGAGAAACACGTGTGGGCAGAGGATGGCCTGGTGCACACTTGGGGGTGCGCGCGCGCGGGTGCACAGGGCAGGGTGCCGGGGAGCTGCCGCAGAGCTCCTTTGTGGAGGGCTCCTGCCGGTTCGGAAGCCAGCTTGGCGCCTCCCCTTTGCTGGTTCCCCGCGGACACCTGGCTCTTCGGCACGGTCCGCACATCTCTGTCCCCCACCGCCCTACTTCCTGCGGTGCCCGACCACCCGGCTCCGGGGCAGCCTTCGGGGGCGGGGAGCAGCGCGCCAGGTCGTGGCTTCCAGGCCCCCGGGGCCCCGCGCAGGTGAAGGTGAGCGCGGCAGCGCGGACGCCGGCGTGGGCAGAGTGGGAGGGGGAAGGGGCCGAGCAGGAAGGGGCGTGCTAGCCTCGCGGCGGGCGCTGGGAGCAGCCTGGGCCGCAGCATTGTTACCTGCGGCAGCGGCAGAGGCTGCGCCCCGCCCCGCGTCGTCCTGCCTCCTCGCGGCCCGGGGCTGCCGGGCTGCACTGACGGGAGAAGAGGCGGCGGCGCTAGGAGCTTGGAGGGCGAGCCGGTCGCGGGTGAGTGTGCGCCGTCCGGCTGAGGACGAGGCGATCCCTGCCCCGGGGCCACCGGGACCGGCGACTCGGAAGGGTCGGGGGCGATCAGCCGGGACTCCGGGCTGGGGTGCTGAGTCTTGGCTGCCTTCGAGCCTCCCTGGGAAGGCTGGGGCATTTGAGCGCCCTCCACACCCACCCGGGTGACTTTGGCGGCTGCACTCCCCTGGCCGCCGAGGACGGGGATCGGTCCCTGGAGGCGAAGGCGCGCGGGTCTGGACCCCTGTCCGGAGACCGAGCTAGGTCGCGGGCCACCGCCGTGTTGGACCGGGTCGGCTGAGTTAGCTCTAACTGCTCAGACTCCCGGATACGCTGCGCCCCCGCTGGATACCCGCCCGCCCAAGAGCGCGCAGCTGGGGGCGCCGCGCCGGGTCCCTGCCCCGCGGGGACACTGGACTCGCCCCTCCTGACAGGGGCGCGGGGTTGGCGAGGACCGAGGACGAGGCGGCTCTCGCTCCCGCACACTTGCTCCTGCCGCGCGAAGTTCAGGTGGGAAGGCGCGCCCGGCACTTGTGCAAGTTCGGGGAGGAAGCTGGGGGGCTGGCGGGTCTCCTCCCGCCGCCGCGGTGCCCCAGCCCGGGGCCGCGGACTCCGGGTTTAATCCTCCGACTGAACACCAGGAGTCTCCCTCCACGGCTGATCGCCGGCTCTCGCCGCTGCCTCCAGCGGAGCCGCAGTGCGGCGCTGAGGCTTTCTCCCGGCGCCCGGGACCCCGACCGCGCTCGCGGGGGGTGTCGCCGCGGCCGCGCGAGGAGAGCCGAGTCCGCGGGCCAGGAGACCTCCACTTTGGATTCCAGCAGACACCTTCCCTCGTTAGCCCCCTCCCCCGCCCCGGGGAGCTTTGTGCAGCGGAGGGCGGGCAGGCTCTGAAGCCCGGGACCTCGGGGTGAGGGGGCGGGGCCTGGCGACCCCCGGTCCCACCTCGACCCGCCCGCGGTAGGGGCGCCGGGAGGGGCGAAGGGGTGCGTGGCTGCTCCCATTGGTTCTGCCCTGAGATAAGGCCGACGCTCCCGGAGGCAGAGGATCCGGCCCTTCCCCGGCGCCCGCACGGTAGTCCCGGGTGTCCCCGCACAGCGGGCGGCGGCCCCTCCGCAGCTCAGCGCGCGCCCTCGCCCGTCGCCGCGACCCGCAGAGCCCCGCGGCGCGTGGAGGCGGCCGCCTGCGCCTCGCACGGCTCCCCGCCCTGCAGCCGCCGCGGTCCATCCAGATAAGGACGCCGCTGCGGGCTCGCGTGCCGCCCGCGGGGACCTCCCACTCCCGGCGCCGCCGGACGCCGAGCGGGGCTCCCTGGGGATTACGGCGGACGCGGTCGTGTGGCCGGACGGGCCGGGGGCTCGGGGCCCGTGGAGCCTTTTTTGCGGCCCAGCCCGGGCGTTTTGGTGAGTGGCGGGGGCGGGGTTGGGGGGCGGAAGGACGGGGTGGACCGCTCGCCAATGCAAAGACTTAGGGGACGACTCTGTATCCGACTTTGGGAAGGAAAACGTGCCCCCGGTGTCCCCGGTGTCCCCGGTGTGGAGTTTCTGCAGGACCGAGTCCGTTTCAAACAGCTGTTTGCGCAGACACTGTGGGGTCGTCTGTGACTCCCGCTCTGCGCTCTCACAGTCGTCTGCCCGGAATGAGGAGCCTGCGCTTCCTTCCTTCTCTTTACAGCATCCTTTGGCGCACGTTTTGCTTTTTTTTTCCCCCTTGGTTTGGGGGCATTGAGAGAAACTGGAAATGCAGATTCAAAAACAGGCGTTCTCTCGCCGCGCTCAGGGCGCTGCGCTCCCAGGCATCCGTGAACTGTTTGTGTTGTGCTGTAGTTACACTCGCTGGCTGGAAACGGCCTTCGTTGCCAGCTCCCAGCTCCGGTTCGCCTGTGTGGTGGACATTCTGAGTGTAGTAAAGGTATGGAAAGATAGGCCCAGGGGAGGAGCCTTTTCCCGATGAGTTCGTGGGGAGCAAAAATTCCGTGTTTTAGAATTGCCTGTACTCTCCGGTCTTTCTTTCCCCCCAAATAAACTAGGGCCGTGGGCTTCTCTGCCTCTTCTCGCCAAGCTTGGCATGTTCCGCCCCCGTTTGTCACCCGAAGGGTATGGGCCAGCCCTTCCTGCGCCCACCTCATCTGTGACACATGTCAGCAATCCAGCGGGAAGGCTCTCTGGTGTGGGCTTTCCTTTTGATGATTGTTGACCGTCCTGGGGGTGAGTGACCAGCTGAGCAACAAGCCCCACTAACCCCTCTCTCAGGAAAGCTCCGAGCTCTGAACTCTGACTTTCAGGAGCCTGTTTTCCCACTAAATATGCCGAAATGAAGCATATATACTCTCTTTTCTTCCCTCTCGCCCACTCCCTTCAAGGGAATAGAGCTTTGACTACGTTTCTGACACCAGGAGCAAAGTAATGTGGCTGTCTAGGCAGGAGCGTTTAGAAAGGGGCCAGAGGGCTTCTTTGGAGACCCCATGAGCATGCTCGTTCTAAGACTTTTAGCTTGCTGATCAGCTAAAGGCTAAGGCCATGGTTGCAGAGTCCCCTTATTAAAAATTCACGTGGTAAAAAAGATACAGCCTCCCCAAGAGTGCCTATCACTCAGACACACCTGTGCTGGGTCCTGATTAGCACTCGGGGACTTCAAGAGAAGTTCTCTTCGGAGCGGGGCCATGGCAGCTCTCCATTTTACTCAGAGCGGGGCATCTTCAGCCGGAGCAGCCACTCTCCCTGCTGCTGTGGTCCCCAGCCTGGGGATGAGATGTTAAATACAAGCCTGTCTGTCTGCCCAGGGGAGATTGATGGATACTTGACATTTTCCAGACAGAGCGAGGTTATTTATTTCTATTGCCCCTCCTGGCAATCAGCGGCCGTGATCAACAGCCAGTGTCTTTAGGGCACCTGTGTTTTCCCTGCGGACTTAGAGCGGGTATGTTTGCATCTTGACTGTAGATAGCACCACAGGAAATTAAATGTTCTTTGTGTGTCCTGTTCTAATGTCCCCTGAGACGGTGGAAAGGGTTAGAATGTCTGTCTGCACTGTCTTTCCCCTACCTCTGTCTGACATGTGAAGTCCGGGCCAGGGAGGAAGCCCTATTGTCGACAGTTGTAAAAGCCTTAGCATCTTGGCTAATCATTACTGGACAACGTATTCATTGGAAGCCGTTGGGGGGGCTTGTAAGATTCTTGTATGTTACCGTGGGGAAAAATTAGCCAGACAACATACCAGGAACAATGTTGTAAGTTTTCTTTTGTTCTTTCAGCTTTTTCAGATGGCATTCTTTCTCAAGATGGGGCAGTGGTTGGAATCACGCCAATGCATCACTAACTTATTTATTACTTTGACAAGCTTTTATCTGGTACTTCCCCATGTAACTCGTAATACTCAAAAAGACATGCAGCCCTGACCAGTTTGGCTCAGTGGATAGAGTGTCGGCCTGCGGACTGAAGGGTCCCGGGTTCTATTCCAGTCAGGGGCATGTGCCTTGGTTGCGGGCACATCCCCAGTGGCGGGTGTACAGGAGGCGGCTGATCGATGTTTCTCTCTCATCGATGTTTCTAACTCTCTATCCCTCTCCTTTCCTCTCTGTAAAAAATCAATAAAATAAAAAAAAAGACATGCATTCTTTGGAGCTTTGGTATTGGAAGATAGTGCTGTTGCATAACTTCCGGGTAGATAGTCTTTCTCACTCTATTAGTATCTTTACATTTGCTATGTGAGGTTTAATGGCACATCTGTGCATATATTTACTCAGCACTGGATGAGTTACTGCTTTCTAGGATAGAGACTTTTTTTATCTTATCCTCATTCTTAGCAGGGATAATCTGTAAACAAGTCAGCATATCTGGGATTGAAGGGTTAGCCACTCTTCTATACATAATTAGTGAATTGGAGGATTAGAACTCTTCTATACATGAGATATATTATGTACAGAAGTATTTTAAAATATGTAAGGATAAACTGCCAAGATTACCTGTGCAGTCTTGAAAAAAGAAGAGTTCAAATATAACTATAAACTGTAATTGACAATGAGTCATTTGCTTTAGGGGTGCCAACTATGAAAACAGCCTGGTTATGCCCCTAATGATAATTATGAAAACTCCTTTTAAAAGCCAGTTGCATCTCAAGTGAGCTGTAAGTTGGCTTGGATAAATATTTTCAGTTTTGCTTTCTAAAATATTATCCAATGATGATGACTACACAACACTGCGAGTGTACTTAATGTAAAAATGGTTAGAAAGAATCATCCAGTTAACAGTTGGAAATGCTATTTTCTAGCCATATGTAATTTTCAGAATCTAAATATTCAAATATTTCAGAAAAACATCCATTCTTGATAGAGATAATTTAATATATAATCACTGAGTATTAAAAAAAGACAAATCTCTGAAACCTAGTAACTAAGAAAGCAGAGAATGGAAATATTAAAGGTTTCTAGCAGCCTGAGCATTTTATCTATAAACCCAGTACATATTTTAAAGCAAATGTAATGCCTGGGGAAGTAAAGAGAAATCATATGTACATATGATACCAGTTGGTAATAATAGTTAATTATATATAGGCATCTTGGTAAGGACTGTCCATATATTAGTTCATATATTCTTATACAAGCCAGTGAAACGGTATGTCCTTATAGAAGAGGATGTTGAAACGTAGGGTAAATAACCTGCCTCACCCTAGTTTGCACATCTAAGGATCTGAGGAAAAGCAGCCTATTTCTGGAATTTCCACTCTTATTTCCAAGGCAAACCTGCTTTAAAAACATTTTTTTTAAAGATTTTAAAATTGAATGGTGATAAGCTAGAGAGAGAGGAAGAGGGGGGAAGAGAGAGGGAAAGAGAAATATCGATGTGAGAGGGAGCCTGCAACCCAGGCATGTGCTCTGACCAGGAATCAAACTGACAACCTTTCAGGGCATGGGACGATGCCCAACCAACTGAACCACACAGGCCAGGCGGCAGTCCTGCCTCTTGTATGTGGTTCTGAGTAAAAAGTTTAACAATATTTGAAGTAGTGATATCAGACAGTTTACTCCTGTGTAACGCAGCATTGCTTGACCAATGTGTTAGTGTAAGCGTGAGCTTTGACAGTGATGCTGTACGAGGACAATTACACTCAGAAGTCCAGTCTGAAAAGCCTTCCCTTTGGCCCTTTATGACCTGGAGGAAACAGTCCCCCTTTCATACACCCACACAGTCAGGTGCTCACTCCATATCCTGCCCGGGCTCCCTTCTTCCACGTTCCCACTTACCTGTCCTTGTATCTGAAGAAATGTAGTTGTTTTGACCCCTGTTTTCACATCAGGTCCATAACCCAACCCCAAAACAAACATGTAAAGATCGGTAAAAATACAAGCCACTAAAATAAGTCAGTGACTGTGGATAAGGGGTCAACGTGTGGCAGGTGTGACACGGCAGCATTTCCTTGTGTGTTTGTGTCTTTGCTAATAGTTCGCGGAAGAAGCAGAAGAGACAGGGGAGAGGTTCTGGTGGCTTCCAGAGAGTGGCTTAACTGGAATCCGAAGTGATAGCATCGGAAGCGATAGTAGAGGTCATGTAATGTATCCCAGCCTCCTAATTTTACAAATGAGAAACTAAAGTCTAGTGAGGTGAAGTGACTTGTCTAAAACGGTAAGCAGCAAAGCTTGATTCAGAGCTGGAACCTTTCATCTGTGTGTCTAGTGTTTGCTCTATTTTCTGGGAAGCCATGTCACCAAGTGGAGCAGGAACATGGTGGCTCTGACTCCAGGGGTGTGAGTTCAGCCATTATTTTATCCTCTGCAAATCCCTGCCTATTATGTGCAAGGTGATCGGTAGAGGACATAGCCACACTGGGGAAAGGCAGGTCACTAATGCCTAACGCTTCAGTCTTGTGCGTAATTTCCCTAGGGGTTGGGTATCCATTGTCCCACGACACCGAGCCAGGTAATGAACAAGTAGTTTATTCATAAAGTGAGCAATACTAGCTGAACCTATAGTGGGTCCTCAGCAAATGTGTTTTATTGATGAACAGAAGTTTTCCAAGTTGGATTTATTGCTGCTGTTTTGGCAACATTTCCAGGTGATAAATTTGGTTCACATTTTAGAAAAAGTATTAGTCCCTTTTTTATTGCTCTCTGGGATGTATTGCCCCTCATTATTTTCATATCCAGTTACTCGAGGAGGGCTGGCACAGGCCTCTGACGGGAATAGCTTGGATTGGAATGTTTTCCTATACTGACTTTAAACTTGTCTTATCTTTGTAGGTTTGGAAGATGACACACAACGCAGCTGCCTTTGTCCCTGGTGGCAGACCAGCGTGTGAAAAAGCATGACGCAAGTTTGAGGTTTGTGTCTGCGTCCTCAAGGTCAAGAAATTATCTCCTTGGAAGGCAACAATACTATGCATGTTATGAATTGTGTCTCCTTGGTCAGTGATAAAGAAAATGGGACTATCGCCACAGCAGCTGGATTCATGATTGAGGAAACACCGCCCCCGCCTCCTCCTCCTCCTCCACCCCCTCCACCTCCACCATGTCCATATTCAGAGGAAGTGTTTGCTCCCTCTCTTCCCCCTCCCCCACCACATGCACTCCCCGGGGGGCCTCCGGTCCCTCCTCCCCCTCCAGAACTGCCCCCAGCATCTCACTTGAACGGCTACAGCCACCTCGGTAAGAAAAAGCGGATGAGAAGCTTCTTTTGGAAAACCATTCCGGAGGAGCAAGTGCGAGGCAAAACCAACATCTGGACCTTGGCATCCAGGCAGCAGCATCAATACCAAATAGACACGAAGACCATCGAGGAGCTCTTCGGGCAGCAGGAAGATGCCACCAAGCCTTCCCTTTCCAGGAGAGGAGGATCTTTAAATTCGTCCTTCAAGGAAGCGAGAGAGGAGGTAAGAAGGGGACGTTGTATTGAGTTTGGGAGTGTACATACGTTTGAAAACTTATTAGAATCACTAAGAAATAACATAAGGCCCAGCCGGCGTGGCTCAGTGGTTGAGCATCGACCTATGAACCAGAAGGTCATGGCTCGATTCCTGGTCAGGGCACATGCCCGGGTTGTGGGCTCGATCCCCGGTGTGGGGTGAGCAGGAGGCAGCCAATCAATGATTCTCTCTCATCATTGATGTTTCTCTCTCCTTCTCTCTTCCTCTCTGAAATCAACAAAAATATATTATTTTTTTTTAAAAAGAAAAGAACATAAGGCAAGGGAATGCTGTGCTCTGGGAATGACAGAAAGGACCTTACATGATGAACTTGAGCTGAGTAGTAACAAAGTGGAAGGAGCGTGCATGCCGGACCCTCCCAGGCATCTCGGTGGATTATGACCTCATGCAGAGAACATGCTCTGTGGGGCCATCGTCCTTGGCTTCTCAGCGCTGCCCTGTCTCTGCACATCTGCGGTTTCTCCTGGTGGAGCACTTCTGCGAGGAGTCCAGGATTACTCGTCTCCAGTGAGACTAACACAGATCCTAAGTTCCTGAGCTCAGGCATCTGCGATCAGCTGGAGCTTTCTGAGACAGCATGCCTTTTGTTAAATAGCATCATTAAGTAATGCACATCCTTAGGGTTTTATCCTTAGTATTTCCTCCAGTTTTCCTTGCACAGTGTTTAGTGAAGGCCCTGAATTATGGCCATTGTGGACCAGAGATTTCCAGAGAGCCAAAGCATAAAGCTGTCTTCAGATAGACTTTCTAGGAAGCGTATTTCCAGGTAACACGCGGTGTGATACTTGGAGAAGAAAATAAAGCTAGCAAGTTACAAGGCATTCACTGGAAGCATGGCCTCCCAAGATACAGGTCACTCTATATTATAGAAACTGAGTCCAACATCGTCTGTGTTCATACTCTCTGTAGAAACTCGAGTAAACATGGAAAAGCCTCTACTTGCAAGAGGAAATAATTAGGAAACCAGGGATTAAAAGAAAAGAATGCTGCCCACCAAAAACAAAACAAAACAAAAAAAAGTAACAGAAATGCATCATTTTTTAATCTGCTGTAAGGGAGCTGAGAAAATAGGTCAGAGATGGAGGTGTGAGATAAGAGTAGGCAGGGCCCTGGAATGAAGTAGCAGCTCCCTGCATTATTGAATTCTCGAGCCGACAATATTGACCTCTTTTCTCTCTGGCTCTTAACTTCTGTCCATGAATTCCCTTGGGGGCCCTTGAGGCTGGTGGCATGGTGCCCTGTTGAAATAGCCAAGAGTCGTCTGTTTATTATAAAGTGTGGAGAACGCTGGGATTTGAGTTTACTGTAAGCTGTGACATGCATTTGAGAGGAAGTCTTCAGGAAAACCCTGCGTGTGAAGCACAGGTTTCCCCTGCTCTTTGCCTTATGCAAAGTCCTTGCGCTTCGTAGCAGACCCTTTCAATCCTGGAAGAAGCAAGAAGTCATTTCCTAAGTCCCCTGGCCTTCGCCCCCGCTGCCAGCAGAGGCTTCTTAATGCACAGCAGGTCGTTTCTCATCGCTGTTTCTGAGCTTCACTTTACTGAATTTCAAGAATTTTTTTTTTCCATTTTTAATATATTTTTTATTGATTAAGATATTACATATGTGTCCTTGTCCCCACGTTACCCTCTACCCCCCACCCCCCCCACCCCCGCTCATGCCCTCACCCCCCCGTTGTCCATGTCCATTGGTTAGGCCTATATGCTTGCATATAAGTCCTTTGGTTGATCTTTCCCCCTTACCCCCACCCTCCCCTACCTTCCCTCCAAGGCCCGACAGTCCAATCAATGCCTCTCCGTCTCTGGATCAGTCCTTGTTCATCAGCTTATGGGTGGGCACATGTGGAGAAAAGGTGATGTCTCCGAAAAGCACCTGTGGAGACCGAAGGGGGTTCGGCTCACCATGTTTCTGGGGAGGCGGCTGGTCCTTGTAAATTGGGGACATTTATTTTGCCAAATGCTATGAGGCACTTGCTGCTTTGAGTTTGTGAATCGGAGAAAGGTTAAGGACCTCTCAGAGCGGGAAAAGAGTGGCAGGGAGTGTGGCGACTTTTCCCACCTGCGGCAGAAGCGGAAATGTCCATTTCTAGGCCAGGTCTAAAGTTCAGGGGGTGGGGGAGAAGAGTCTTTCTCCTCACCCACCTTCACCCCTGTATCTGAGGAACATCTTTACTTTTTTTCCTTTAACTTAAAAAAAAAAAAAAAAACACCTGAAAGTGAATAATTATTTAGCTAGTTAGTTGTTATGTTTATTTATCCTTTATTGAATTTATGGTTAATACAATGATACAGGTTTCAGGTGTACAATTCTATAATACTCCATCTGTATATTGTATTATGTGTCCACTACCCCAAGTCAAGTCTCCTTCCCTCACCATTTATCCTTCCTTTACCCTCTCCGACCTCCCCCACCCCCTTTCCCTCTGGTAATCACCATACTGTTGTCTGTCTGTGAATAATCATCTTTTTAATTGTGGTAAAATATCCATCGACCATCTTAACCATTTGCAGGTGTACAGTGCAGTGGCACTGGGACATCCACGCTGTTGTGTAACCACCTCACCATCCATCCACAGAAATCTCATCTTGCAAACTGGAACTCCCAGTTCCTGGCATCCACCCTTCTACTTTCTCTATGAATTTGACTGCTGTGGGTGCTTTATATAAGTGTGATTGCACAGTATTTGACTTTTTGTGCCTGGATCATTTCACTTTGCATAATGTCCTCGAAGTCCCTCCATGTGGTAGCGTGTCAGCATGGTAAGGCTGGATAATATTCCGTTGTAGGCATACACCACATTTGTTTACCCAGTTATCCGTCCATGGACACTTGGGTGGCTATTGTGAATAATGCTGTTATGAACATGGGTTTGCAAATAGCTTTATTTTTAACACGTATAGGTCCTAATCTGAGAGACGGCATACTAGAAAGAAAAGTTAAATCACCATAACTGTGTAAGCAAACAGCCTAACTCTTTAGCTCTTCATACTCAGGTAGGGTAAGTAGTTTAGTAGATGGATAGATAAGTGCATATTACATAACATTGTCACAGAACAGGGTTATCCAGAATTATTTTCAATTTTCCATGCTGCCTCCAACATGGCTAGATGTATCATATGTACTTTCTTTTTTTGTCCCAGTAAAGAATACAGGACGTGTGATTTTCTTCCCTCATTAGATTTTCTTCTAAAGCAGCTACAGCTCAGCAGAGTGGTAGTCTAACAAGGACCAGCGTTAAAAGTTCCAGTTCACTCTGTAGTAGGGGAAGCCCAGGGTTGACAGTTTAGTCCTCACTGCCTGTCCGTGTGGACTGGAGAACTCCCTCCACAGCATGTTGAGCAGATGGACCCATCCGAGCCTGGAAACATGGCATCCCAGCCGTGACCACACAGCCCGTAACTCTGGAGGCTCAAACGTGCCGAGGATCAGGTTATGTCCCCTGGAAATAATAGGCACCTCCTACAGCAATGGCCTGCCATTATGTGGTTGGCTCATACTTTCAAGGGCTTAGAAAGCCTTACAAACAAGTTCCATTGTACTCCAAAGGAAGAAGTTTCTGGAAGATAGGGAAGACCTGGGGCTAGGAATTGCTGAATTAAGGAAGAAGAACCCTTAACAAGTGAAGTGGAACATTTAATAAGGGGGAAGAGGTTATGACCTATTACTACTATCCTTGTGTCTTTGTTACCTAAAAAATTAACTTGAGGAGGCTACAGATGTTACAGTAATAATTAAGCTATAATAAAGTAATTAGAAATAACAGATTTGTATAACTGGTGATGATAATAAAAAGATTCAGCTCAAACTCTTCCTCCCCCTCTACCCCCAAGCTTGTTGATCTCACCCCTGAGAAGTTCCCCGTTCAACGGAACCTCAGCCTCCTCAGAGCCCCACACTGGTTGTTGGGTCTGTACTTGTCTCTCACTAGAATAGGAAACTGTCTTGAGGAAAGGAACAGCCTTACCCATTTGGTGTCCTTCAAAGAAACTAAAGTAACTGAGCTGACAGAACTGAACCGAGGGAGCAAAGGGACCACCTTACAAGGTGTCAGTCAACATGATAGGTCAAAACTGGGAGTCACAAAGAAACCACTGTGAGATGAATAAGGTCTGAGGATCTCCCGTAAAACATGGTGACTACTGTTGAGAACACTGTATTGTAAAAACTGAAATTTGCCAAATGTTCTCACCAAAAAAAGAGAAAAAGATAAATATGTGAGGGGATGGATGTGTTCATAAGCTAGATGGGGAAACCTAACTAAAATCTTGAACTGGGGAAAGAGGAATGGCGAGAGAGAAAATAAGATGGAGGATTGGTTTTTCAAATTCATGAGAAGTCATGTTTTGTTCTCCCACACTGTAATTCAGGTTTCAGTCATTCTTTCTCAACTTTTGTTCTGACCCCAGTATATTGTAGAATTCTGGGACATGCTCAGTCCAGAACTGTATTGAAAGGGGACTAAAAGCAAAGTTCCAACTGGGTTTTCATTTCCTCCCCCGCAACATTGGGGGAGGAACATTTCCCACGTGACAGCCAACCAAAAATGAAAAACCATTAAAACCCAAAGCTAAGGACGTATAGAGCATTCAGGAAGATTTTTAAAATTTTGCTTTTCAGAATTTGACATAGGATTGAAATAACCAAAAATGATTTAAAATTTTCTTTTTCCACCTGAGGACATTATATTAAGTGAAATAAGCCAGTCACAAAGGGACAAATAGGATATGATTCCATTTACATGGGGTACCCAGACTGGTCAAACTCCTAGGGACAGAAAGTGGAAGGGTGGTTGCTAGGGGAGGGGGAGGGGAATATGGGGAGTTAGGGTTTAATGGGTCCAGAGTTTCAGTTCTGCAAGTTGAAGAATTCTATGGATGGATGGATGGATGGTGATGATGGTTGCACAATAGTGTGAATGTACTGCATGCCACTGAACTGTACACTTGAAAGTGGTTAAGATGGTAAATAATGTTATGTGTATTTCACTACCACTAGAAAACAAACGTTTCCTCTTCCTTTTGAGAATATGGGAGGCAGATTTTGTAGTGATGTGACACTAGGTAAAAGTACATGCGTTGTAGTAGAAGAACCTAGGAGAGCTTACGCAGAGGTGTTAACAGGGGCCGTGGTGTAGCCATGCACATCATTGTGGAGCACCCAGTACGTACCCTGGTTTCAGTGTCTCTGAGGGTCTTAGGACAACCCCAGCCACCCTGGCCAACTGTGGGGAGACTGCTGTTACCGCAAGTCTCCTCACATCGTGGTGGGACATCCTCCGGATGGGATGAGCTGAGCACATTACCTGTTGGCCAGGGATGGTGTAACTCCTTGGTTGGCCTTTAAGGAAGCTCGCTGGCTGTACCTGCTGGTGACTTAAGCGGAGTCCTGCCTCCATGTGCTGCGGCATAGATACAGTTGACTGGAACTGGTGGGGAGAGGGAGGGACCCATCGATTCTTCCCTGGAGCAGTTGGTCTGACCTGTGGAGCCAGAGAGTCTCACAGGGTGGCCCACGGGTAGAGTCCATGGCTCTGAATGGTTCCAACACCCCAGCAGTCCCACACACATTCATTTCTGAATTGCCCAGCTTTTTGAGCTGGCAAGCGTTTAGGAAGTAAGATAAGCTAATTTACATGGATAGTGATAACCCTCATTGAAGGACTTTAACAAACACTTTTCTAACACTGCTTTGGAAGGATCCAGTGAGATAACCAGTGGGAAAGACACTGCTCGTGCAAATCTGAGGATACCGCCCCTGGGGCGGGGAGCAGGCCCTGGAACGTTATCAGTTGTCTCGTTTTTCCTGTTTTTTTGATGAGGCACTGGGCTGTTTTCCCTGGTGGGTGCAGTCAGTCATGACCAACCCAGGTTTTTCCTTAGGAATATTGCTGAATTCTCTAGGTGGCCACTTTCTGAAGCCTTGCTTCAGACTGTAGAGACAACTACTGTTCCAGGCTGGCTGCCCCTGCATTGGGCATAAGGAAGCCTCTTTGTGCCTGCAGGCTGTCTTAGCTGGTGACATTTCTACCCATCACCCCACACATACAACTGGGGTCACCAGGGGACTTGGCCAACCCCGTGGATGGCTTTCTTCAGATCTGTCCCCATTTCTGGAGAAATATTCCAGTGTGAATACCAGGCTGGAGGGGGAATATTTGCCAATTCTCTTTACTCCTGTATCTCAGTGATGCTAAAACTCACCAGAACTAGAGTGAAAAGGAAGCCGATACACCCAGGCTAGCGTTTCAGCTCTGGTATTGCTTTGGGGAAGTTATAAAAATGACATCTCCGAGGCTCTGTTTCCTTATATGGTAAATGGGAGGAATAAGACTAATGTCTCCATCACCTTTTCAGCAACAGTAGCTGCGGGATCTCAGCCAAGTGTGCAGAGTCCCAGAGGACTGAAGGGTGAAGATGATGAGGGTGGATTTGGGGCATTGGGGACCCAGGAGGGTGCCACCATCACGGGTTAAATATAGCAGGAGGTGGTAATTTAATGAGAGAAATAAAAAAAGGTATTTCCCCATTCTGGGTGGAAGTGAGTACAGAGAAAGTATTTTGGATATCAATCAATATACATGTTCTTACTTGTTAATTTATGAATTATAATAAACACATAGTTGTTTGTCATAATATCATTCGGGTATGAGCCTTCCTCCTTAAAGGGTGATAACTTTGACAGGTTTTTGGTTTTTTTTTCTCGCCACTCTTTCTTCCTTCCCTTCCCCCCCGCCCCCCCCCCCCCCCTTCACCCTGAACTTGAACTGCAACCCCAGGGTAGGATTCCAATAAGGAGCTGGCCCTTTTAACTTGGGAGTTTATTTTATGGTTGGCAGGTGATTGTGTTAACATGAAATAAACCCCTAGGATAGTAAATAATGTGATTGTTGAAGATTAGTGTTGAAATGAAGGCAACCATACTCTTGTAAAAATTTAACCTTATAGCCAGGAAGTGCCATTAACTGGTTAACATTCTTGTTAGTCTTGCTGTTTCCTATACACTTAGAAGCAGGCCCAGAGATCAGGAATTTAATTTGAAACCCAATTCTCTTTTGTTCACAATGAATCATATACATTTGGAAAGGAAGAGCATTATAACAACATTCCTATTTTAGCGAGTCTCCTTTACCAAAAAAACAAATGGGGAAAAATGCAGCAGTTTTAAGGTTCTCTTTCCTCCACACATTCTGGACATTTACTTCCAGAGAAAGAAATGGCTTCGTTATTTTATCCCCCACCAAAAAAAGTTCTAATTTGTAATCTGATAAAACTCTTCCAAATTATTCATTTTGAACAACTAAAGCCTATTGCAGCCAAAATCTGGGTTTTGATGGTACATTGGAATAGCCAACATATTTCATTAAATTAAAGATGATTCCAGAGATGTTAAAATGCCAAAAAAATAATAATATGTCTTTGACTTGGTGAAATACATCACAAGAGTTTTCCTTTGTAAATTATGAGTAAATAAAATGTAGGGCACTTTCTTACCTCCTCCTAAAAGGGCTGTTGAACATATATATTCTTTTTCAATGAAAAGAAATTTCTCTTTTAGAAAAAAATTGAGAATTTTATTAAATATTTTTTTCTATCCCTAAATCAGAGTTGGGACTCACTCTGAAATCACTTCAGAGTTATTTTTTACTTTCTCAGTTCAAATCTCATGTGATTCTTGCTATACTAAGACATTTTTTCCAAGTTAAGGCTTTTAAATGTGGATTATATTATTTTAAAAGGGAGCTGCTAACTTTAAAAATATATAATTTATTAAGAATTATATAATATCATGTGTAATTATTACAATAAAGGAAACATATTGTAGAAAGTTTGGGGAGATGATAACATTTTACTATATGTAAAACTATATTAGGTATATCAATTAATCACAAGATTTACACACTGGGAATTATCCTCTTATAAATTGGAATTATTTTTAATAGGTTTTCATTCTCTTCATTCCTCCAACTGTTATTATTTGTACTTGAATGATCTTATGTGTCTCTATTTTTTTACAGATAACTATCTTGGATGCAAAACGGAGCATGAACATTGGGATATTTCTTAAGCAATTTAAGAAGTAAGATTTTTGCATATAGTTGAAACTTGAGCATCAGAGTCTGTGGGTGTGAGCTGAAATTCAGATTCTAACATGAGGGAAAATCATGCCCCAGGCCTTCAAATCCTTCTCAGGCACATGGCTTTGATGAGTCCAGCACTTTATGCTGTTTTCCTCATGAAAACCCAATCTAGTGGCTTGAAATAGGGAGAATTACCCCAGGATGCCATACAAGCGTGGTATATCAGGGAGTTTATAAATTCATCTGCAGTGTTGCCCCTTGAGTGGAGGTTGGGCTGGTGAGTCAAACAGTGGTGAAGTCCAGGGTGCAAAGGCGAGGGCTCTACTGGAGTTTCATGAGACCGAAGGGGATGGTTTTCTTCTCCCAAAGGGAGACTCCAGTGGTCGTTGCCACTCTGACTTTTTTGGGATGCCTGGGGTGGGGGTGGGGGGGAGGGTTGTGGGTGAAGTGGCCTCTGAGTAGTGTTTCAGGATCTCCACTTTTCCTGGCGGTGGGTCTGTGGTGATCACTGACACACAACTGCCTTTTAGACTGGGAAGAAGGCGGGATGGAAAGGAGGGTGGAGGTGATTTGTTTTAATTTCCACGGGCTTGTGTTTCTTTGGCACGCGAGCAAACGTGAAATGGAATCTGATTAATTGTCTTTTCAAGGTCTCCTCAGTCCATTGTAGAAGATATTCATCAAGGAAAGAGCGAGCATTATGGAGCAGAGACATTGCGAGAATTTCTTAAACTGTTGCCAGAGTCAGAGGAGGTAAGGAATTTGCCGTGTGAGTTTTAGATGTTAGGAGTGATGATAAAAGCTTAATATTGGTAGGAATGTCAAAAATCACATGGGAAGGGAACTCTCCTACCCAGAATTCGTTTTCTCACATAAAATTAAGTGATCCAGTGGAAAGAGCATGGGTTCTGGGGTTAGAGAACCTAGGTTTAAATTGGAGCTCTACCCTTAATTGAGAAACTTGGGCAACTTTCCTAACGCCCATGAACTTTAGTTTTCTCACCTGTAAATGGAGGCTATGATGCTACCTCATTGGACAGTGAAGATAATGAAACGGTAGTTATGCGTCTGACATGGTACTTGGCACATGGAAGCTCAGTACATTTTAATTCCATTTCCCATCATCTGGCGGATGATCTTTGCCTAGGGTGTACGTGGATTGTTTTATAATGTGTATACTTAAAAAAAAAGTAAAGACCAAGTAAGCCACTTTAGGATAAAGATGCTCTAAAATTTGGGAAGGTAGGTAAATTGTTAATGAACGTTGTCTACATAATTGACGGAAAGTTGGAGATTGCTGTGATAGCAATGTAGTACTGCAATATAAAGTTATTGATTTTTTTTTTTTGGGACTGAATTCACTGACTTTTTGAATGGTTAGGAGCTTGATAGAAAAGAAAACAGAAAAATAATTTTGTAAAACCTCCCAAAATTTTAATATTGTCTTTTATTTCTGAAGAAGTGACCTTTGAAAAAAACCTAAAAGAAATACATGAATATCTATGCTTGTAAACATTTGAATAATAGTCTTATAAAGTAAAAGGAATGTTACCCTCTTACACATACTGCAGTTCCTCCCTCTCCCATCCTACTCCCCTTCCCACACAGCATAGGTGGAACTTGACTTTAGTACCATTAATAACAATAAGATAAACGTATTTATACTTTTTACATCAGTGATAAACTCACAATGCCAAATCGAGAATTTTATTGAGTAACTAGACATTCTAGATACATCTAATAATCTCAGCCTCTCCCTATCCTGGGTTTTCTGTTTAAAGTTAAGAATAATTTATCTTAGCCAAGATTAATTAATAGGATTTATTAATGTTAATAAAAGGGTCTTAAAATATTGAGAAAAAGGAAGATTAAATCATCACTTACCCAGACCTTGTTTGCTGAACACTCTAATTTTTCTTTTCTGTGGAAAATGGGAGTTCCCAAATTTTAAAATGAGGATGAAGATGGTTGAATTAATTTGGATTTTAAAGAAGATTTAGTTTTTCTCAATATCTTAATCCTGCTTGGGCTTTTTTCATGACTCCTCCTCAGCACTGCTCTGGTACCCACTCCTAACTGATCTTGACCGTTTTTAAGCGAGGGTCAGATTTGATTGCACAAGTGAAAGTGCTCTGAAAAGCCCTAAATTTCTCACTAAACAGAAGTCAGGCATGAGGGAGGCTGCTGTCTTCATGCCACGAAGATGTGGGAGATTACATACGGCTTTCTTAATATCTTCTAATTTAAAAATCAAAGGTGATTCAGGAATGCAAAGGCTGTGGAAGACTAAGGGATTTTTCAAAGAAGCAACTTAGCTGTCACACTGCTCATGTTTTAAAAAGCTGGTTTTTTGAGTTGTGTGTGGGATATAATTGACAGGGAGGAAAGTTAAGGGCCAGATGAATAAAACCCACCCAAGGCTTCCCTGAGGCCCCAGGCGCTCTCTCACCCTCAGACTGTTAGCTAACCTCTGGCCTGGCTGTGAAGTCCTGCCTTCCCAGCCCCTGAGCCAGGCCCAGCTGTTTCTCCCACCACCCTCCTGCTGCAGGGCCATCCTCCGTCTGAATATCTGACCAGCTTGGTCACTCTCCTCCTTGTTTACATTACTGACTCTTGGCTTCAGCTCACCACACCCTCCAAACTCAACTGGGAGCTTCCTTCAGCAGGAACACCCTGACAGTCCTGCTGGGTGTCACTTGGCATCCCTCCCTAACGCACTCCGGGGGATCTGTGCTGGCAGAGGGAGGCCCAGTGAAAGCCAAAGCCACCCCATGACCCATGCCCGCTGCAAGGTCAGATTAGCTTTAGTTGTGAGAGCTGTGTGGCCTCTGGCACCACCCAGACCCAGGGCCAGCCCTAGAGTCTTTGGAGGAGGGTGGAGGATGGAGATGAGGCCAAGGAGGAGACAGGGCCAAGTGAGAGAGGTTTAGGAATGTGGCAGAAATATGCTGATCAGTGCGTAAGTGTACGAGTAACCGCATGTTGCTGAGCCTGTGGCATAACGTTCTGTGCTCATTTTTAGCACAAGAAGGGACTCCATGTTTGTTGAGTGCCACTGTGTCCCAGGCACTGGACAGGGCAGCATTCAACCAAGCGAGATCCTGCATTTCAAGTGCGTGGCCCAGTGTCCGGCACATAGACAGTCAGTAAATCATTGTTGCAATGATTTAGTGTATCATCTTTTTCACTTAATCCTCACAGCGATGTAAGATAGTCCTCATTTTACAAGTGAGAAACTGGGGCTCACATGGGTTGGATAGAACGAGTTCAGTGCCACATGATGGACAGGCCTTGGAGGAAGTGGACTTGAACTCTGATTGGTCTGACCCCAGAGCAGTTCCTTGGGCTGCACTTGGAGGAAGGAAGGAAGGAAGGAAGGGCAGAGGTTCTCAGAAGTTTCTCAGAGGCCTCCCAGCCTTTTCATCACCTGTGCTGTCACACAGTACTGGTGTGAGTGTCACCCAAATAACACCGCGATCTTATCAGCGGGCGGAAAAATATGAACGGAAAGAGCTCTTTTCTCCTCTGCATTCTCAGCTGACAAGCCAACCCAAGGTTAATTTGTGTTCAGGATTCCTCTGCCCTTTTGCCACAAATCTTTTGTCTGGCATGTTTGTTCATCTTGCCTGAAACACGTGGTTAAAACTTGCAGAGGAAGAAGGTAGACCTGGAAGTGAGAGAACTGGGGGGTTGTGCTCTCTGTCAGGTATCCCTGTGCCCTGAGAGGAGGCTGGAGGAGGAGCCAGGTGGTCCGGGGAAGGACCCCCACCCAGCTGGCAAGGCCCTCCCTCGGCTGGGGCGGGGACCCTGTCATGGCCTCAGTGTTGGGGATGTAGGACTGGAAGGTGATAGAAATGCTCTGTCCTCTCTGGGCGCAGATGGAAAGGCCTCCTCCGACACTTTATCACCTCATTTCACCTCATTTGTTTCCTCTGCCCCTGGGAGGGAAGTGCCAGTGGGGGAGCTCCAGAATCTCCTGTTGGTCTGTGGGTGGGAAATCCTGCTCTTTTAAGGCCATGGGAGTGGAATTAGACGGGATGAAGGAGGCCTGCCCCTGGGAATGTGCGAGTCTCAAGGAGCATTCTGTTTGCTATGAGGACAGCACTGTGTAGCCGGGTCATAATGAGAGTCACTTGGCTCAGCCAACAGCATCGTGCCTAACGATGTTTGATAAATGCTTTTTGATGGTGATGAGAATGCATAATAATTATAGGGTTGGTTCACCTCTCTTTTTCTTACCTCCCTGCCACTGTGAAGGTACCGTAATCCCGCTTAATGAACATAAATCCCGTTTTGGAATGGAGTTAAGAACTGTATACAGGGCATTTAAATCAAATACTATCTTTTCATCACCATTCTCTTGAAATCTAAACATTGTTAGCTCGTTACATAAGTGAAGGAGATTAGTCTTTGTTCAGTTACAGTTTAGCACATGTCTAATAGAAATATCGACCGAGATGACTTAGCATGACCTGTTCTTAGGCTTTGGACAGAAAACTGCTGTTATTTGCACGTGCTGCATATGAGGTCTCGCTCTGCCCTGCCCATATATAGTGAATTGTGAGACCAGTTCGGAAGGGATCAGAATTCTTACCATAGCTTTCTCAGCTCAGAAACAAACCTCTGATTTGGGCTTAGCTAAATCAGAGATTCCATCTGCCCTTTTGTTTAGTAAGGCCAAAAAATTGTAAAAATCACGTTGGGGCCCTAAAGGTAGGGGAAATAGTGCCATTCTATAAATGGCCATTTTTCTGTCCGTTGCAAGAAAAAGATGTGGTCTTAAGGACCAGACTCAATTCTAGGATGTTCATCTACACTGTCACATTGTGTATCTTCAGGGAATTGGTGTAAGTATTTCAGTTTGTGGATCTTTGCAAATACTCCCTCTGTGTTTTTGCACATCATTCCCTAATTTTTAAAGAGGCTTAAGAATCGTTATGTTTATGGGCAGTCAACATAATCCAGGAGGTGGAAGAGAGAAAGCTTTATGAAGACTAATAAAAAGTGGTGCATGCTCCCTGGCTGCCATTAGCTGCAAAGATGGGCTACCTATGTCTGAAGGCCCACTTACCGTCAAGTGTTTCTGTTGGAAGACCCAGTGGATGGAGAAGGGCTGTTGCCATCAGATTGGTCCAGTTTTCTGTGTGGGGAAAGCATGACTCACTCTCTGGTGTAGAGGGGAACTTCCTTTTCCCCTCCATCCGCACTTGCCAAGTTTTTTGGCTACATTCCTATGTCCGAACTTTTAGTTCTCGCCTACATTTGAAAGAATATTTGTGTGTTTAATAACTTCCAGCTTAATTTAAAAAAAGTTTTTTTTAATTAATTTCTAAGAGGGAAAAGGAGAGAGAGAGAGAGATAGAAACATCAATGATGAGAGAGAATCATTGATCCGCTCGCTCCCCCATGCCCCACACTGGGGATCGAGCTCGCAAACTGGGCATGTGCCCTGACCAGGAATTGAACCATGACCTCCTGGTTCATAGGTTGGTCAATGCTCAACCACTGAGCCCTGCCGGCTGGGCATAGTTTAATTTTTTACAAGAAAATGCATGTTCATTGTAGACAATTTAGAAAATAAAAATAAGCAGCAGAAGAAAATATAATCATATATATATATACGGGATCCCATTGTGCATTTGCTTTTATTACCTGATTCTTTCATAGAGGGATGTCTTAACATTGATCTTTCTGTTAAGCCATTTTCCTTTATTTCTTTCTGCTGGAGAGTAAGAGTGGACTCACCTAACATACAATAGTCCCTTCCTATAAAGTGAATATATGTGAAGGGGACTTGACCACAGAAAGATCTGCCTTAGACCTTACCCAGTCTGAGTATGTGACATCCAAAAGACTCAAAAGTAATAAGACTGTTTTCACCTATGACTTAAGGACTGTATTATAAGGAATACTCCATCTCTTTTTTCTTCTCCCAAGCAGTGATCTCCCTCCCAGGTTATAACTTGGAGAAACATTTCACCCTCAGGACGGCCCCTTTTCAGTCTCCTTTTGGTAACCTTCCTGAGGATTTCAGCTTTCTGGCTTGCATGGGATTGTTTACACCCACCGAAGTGACCCGGCTCCTCTCTTTCTAATTTGTGTTGTTTGTTTGGTCTTTCTGCTTTCAAAAAGACAAAGTGGTAGATGTGATGACTTCCCTTTCTGTCTTTTCTCAGGTCTCCGCTTTTACTAGTTTGAAGGTAGCACCGAAATTCTATTTGCTTGCAGGGATTCTAGGATGCAATTTAAAATCATGTTACATTTTCATCACAAGTCATGTTTTTCTCTACCCCCTTTTCCCATTTGTCTTTTAGATAAAGAAATTAAAAACATTTAATGGTGATGTGTCCAAGCTGTCCCTGGCAGACTCCTTTCTGCACTGCTTAATTCAGGTGCCAAAGTAAGGACCACTGATCATTGTTCTTTACAGAGGAAGGTTTTTAAACGTGTGACCTCAGAACTACAGTTTGACTTTTTCCTTTTCAGCTATTCGCTTCGGATTGAAGCCATGGTGCTAAAGAAGGAGTTTTTACCTTCTTGCTCTTCTCTGTACACGGATATAAGAATTCTAAGAATGGCTATACAAGGTGAGTAAATGCATGATCCTTCGTATAATTAGTTTTTATTTATTTGGGTAGCAGTTTATTGTAAAAAATGATTCGGTTGAAATTAGAAATGCAAAGTCCCATTTCTGATACACCCTAAAAAGGGAAATCGGTGTGACCAGGGATGGCATTGAAGGTTTATCTACAGTTACTTCCCCCATAGTTAATTAATTGACTAATCAATTGATTACTTAATCAGCACATTATCCTCCCGTAAGAGAAGCTTTCTTTCATCTCACGCTTCGGAGTCAGCCTCGCTACTTGCAGCTCACTCTTGTTCCTCTTGTAGGTTTGCTTGCTGTGTGTCGGTGGTGTGTGTGCCTTTAAATGACTGAGATACCTTCAGTTGTTAAACCAGTTTGCAAACTGAGTTTAATCAGAAGGTGCGCAAGCCCTGGGCCAGCCCAGCCCATCTCTCCTCCCATTCTCTGGCCTCTGTTGGTGTCTAGGACCCTGCTTTCCGGAAGCAGACCCCCACCCCCACCCCTTTCCTCCTGACTCCTCCCAGGAATGAATGTCCATGCGGGCTCTTTCGTCAGGGTGTCTCTGCCCCCACTGCCTCCCCTCCAGACTCCAACCACTGGTTGGCTAACTATTTTGAGAGGGGCCAGTGGCCCACGTCCATGTCTTTGAACAGCTTGCTACATTCTTGCTTACCCAGCTTGGATAGACTCCTCAGAGCTGCCCTGATGTCTCATTCCATATGGGTGGGAGCTTGGCTTTGGCCTTGGTTGACCCTGGGATTGCAGGCCCAGCCCATTTGCGTTTGCCTCCTCCTCTCAGGCAGTCTCGTGCCCTCCCTGACCCTCACATCTTCCAGCACCATCAGCGCCTCTGACTCCTTCTTGCTCATTTTCTGGATTTCATTATCGTGCAGAACTGTTTATTCCTGTTTGGTTTTCCTGTTTAGTTGCTCTGACCTGGGCTTGAAATAATGTTTTGCTCTTCAGCCCATCATAGTTTCTTCATTTAGAGAGGAGATTAAGAACGAAGATTTTTTTCTTCTTTCAACCTAGAGTTCTTTTAAAATTTTTCCCTATACCAAGGCTGTTGCAGCAACTCTAACAGGGTTGCTGCTCCTGTTCGAAGAGAGATGGGAGAACATGTTTTCGTATTAAGCAGGCAAATTTGTGGGCACGGCACAAACGTTTCTTATCTGGTTACCCTTCAAAAACTGGCCTCCTTCGATAACACAATGTAGGCAGTGATCCAGCTGTAATTTTTGGAAAGTAATACCAGACTTAATGGGGAATATTAACTTAAAAATACCATAGGTGACATTTTACTCTTTGGGTACACTGTCATTTTAATCATCAAATTTTTTTAGCCTTCCAAATACATCAACAATTTTGAATAGTGTTTTTTTTCTGTAGGTGCGTGTACAATAGATCCTGTGATTAAAGAGCTAGTTTACCAGTATATTCCAATGATAAGTTCCTTTTTAAGTCCTTAGGCCAATCCAAGTGAAATGTCTAGTTTTGAATAAAATACGAGGAGTCTCTGGGTGCCTGGCCCCTAAGGGTTGATGCTTTGCACCTTATTTACATGTCATACCAGCTTGTTTACTTTCTATCTCCTCACAGCTCATTGACTAAGCAAAATGTTGCTCGCTATTTTCACATTTCATCAATATAGTCTCAAAGGCTGGTGGATATCAATGAAAAAAAGAAACATTGCCGGGAAAAGGTATCCCTGTAACACAGGGATAAGTTCATAATTGAACTGTTTTATGATGTGTAAGTATTACTGATATTTGATTCCCAGTTCACCACCAGGATATGGATTGCCAGTGGCAAATGCTGCATCAGATCCACCATAGGATGTGCTGCTTTCTTTACTTTCAGAGCCTTCGTATGAAGTTCAGGGTCAGAGCTTGCTCCCAACACCCTTGAACTTGGATGTGGTAGCTGGTAGCTGTCTCTTCTACATTTCAGCTGGAGGCTTCTCTAAGTCACTGTGTGTGTTCTTCTTGACAGAGCTGATGTCATGTGAGGAGCTGCATTCCATATTACACTTGGTGCTACAGGCAGGAAATATCATGAATGCAGTAAGTAAAATACAAAAAAATTAAAACGTTGTATTTCTAACTGTATTGATCTGTCTAAACATATGGTTTTTTTCTTTTGATTTGTCTTCTTTAGGGAGGGTATGCCGGCAATGCAGTAGGATTTAAGCTGTCGTCTTTGCTCAAATTGGCAGACACCAAAGCAAACAAACCTGGGATGAACCTTCTGCACTTTGTTGCACAGGTATGGAAGTGGTTGTTATGGAGAGAGAATGTGGTGGATCCCCATGCTGGCTGTGATGGTTTTCCCAGGTCTAAGGTGGCGTCAGATTCAGGAAAGGGCATGGTGGGTCCCAAGAAGGTTCTCTGTGCGGAAGCACTGTCTGCAAGTACGTGAGCTGAGCTGCGCCCACGGTCCTCGGACTGGAGGGGAGGGCAGGGGTCTGGGGAGTGAGGCGAAGGGTTGATGAAGACAGATAATGAAGGATTTGGATCCTAAAGCTGAGAAATGTGGATTGCTTGCTTTAGCAGTGGGGAGCCAACTGAGGTGTGTGTGCATAATGGCTTTTTGTTTTGTTGTGAGGAAAGTGTGGAGGATGGGTTGGAGTGGAGCAAGAGCTAGAACGAGGGGTACCTCTTGGTGGCAGTTGGCATGAATTCATTGTTTGGAAGAGTTGAGAATCAGAGTGACGGCCACAGGGATGGATGTTGAAACATTTCTAATGTTGAACTGACTAGATTTTTGACCAGTTATGTGTAAACCGTGAGAGAATCAGAGCAATTACAAAGATCACTTCCATCTTTTTCCTTTGTGAAGTGTGGGTTAGCGTGCCTTGCCGTGAGCCCAAGGATTAGACTCAGAACCCTGCCCATCTCTTCCATTTTTAAAAATATTGACTTAGAGAGAGGAAGGGAGAAAGAGAAACACTGGATGTGAGGGAGAAACATCGATTGGTTGCCTCCTGCACACACCCTGACCGGGGATTGAACCTGCAACCTGGGCATGTGCCCTGACCGGGAATCGAACCCCCGGGTGCATGGGAGGACGCTCCAACCAACTGAGCCATCACTTCCATTTTTGACTGGGTCTATGTGATGCCAAAGGAACTAGTTACAAAGTGAAAAATCAGCCCAGCACAATTATCTCTTTGTTGTTACATTATCTCAAGTAACGAATTGTTCCGGTTTGTCTTTCCTTCATTGCAAGGCCTTGTTGTTTTGACAGCAAATACAGCGATGTAGCTTTAGCCTGGGGAGGAAGCTGTCATGTGATTATTTCAAGTGTGAGCTTCAGACGGGGCAGAACTGAGAGAGTTGGCAGAACTGAAAGAGTTTGATTTGTCATTTATGAGCTGTAATCCCTCAGACAAGTCATTTATTATTTTTTAAAAATATATTTTTATTGACTTCGGAGAGGAAGGGAGAGAGAGAGAGAGAGAGAGAGAGAGAGAGAGAGAGAGAGAGAGAGAGACATCAGTGATGAGAGAGAACCATTGATTAGCTGCCTCCTGCACACCCCACACTGGGGATTGAGCCTGCAACCCAGGCCTGTGACCAGGAATTGAACCGTCACCTTCTGGTTCATAGGTGGATGCCCAACCACTTAGTTATTTAAACCTAAGACCCTGGATCTCTTCATCCAGTGATGGAAACAGTGATACCTCAAAACCAGGTAACTGTGAGGGCTCACAGAGGTAATTCCATATAGTAAGCTCTCAATTATTACTATAGTCTTCCGAAGGTGGAGGCCGTGCTGACCTTAGGACTAATATAAAAGCTAATTTGCAGGACGTTAAACCAGAAAATAGGTTCCTCCTCCCAGGTGTCTTGCTGGGAGGGACTCTCTGGCAGTCCTTTTAGATCCGTGTATCCAGGTGTGTCCTGCGTCCCTGCCATGTGGGGAAGTTTCCGGAGTTGTTCATTGGTCCCTTTATACATGTCTTCCTCGTACTCTGTGAACAGGTGAAGAATCCAGAGTCTCCATGGCTTGGGCACCTTCTGATTAAACTTAGGTTGCAAACTGGTTTAACTGCTGAAGGTATCTCGGTCATTCAAAGGCACACTCACAGGTATGGGTGGTATTTAAACAGGAGATGTTGGATTCTCTGAGAGATGATGGGCCCTGCTAAGGCACCACCTCCTTCCCCTGAGTTTTCAGGCACATTACTTATGTTTCATGTCAGCATCAGTTGCTCAGGAAGTTAAATGTATGGTGAGAGTCCTGGCATTCTGGTAGATCTTGCTAGGAACATCGGAGCTACTGTCTCAGTGAATGGCTTTGACTGCATCAAGGGTGAAAAACGGGAACAGTGATTTTAAGGTTCCTTTAAGCCTGGGCAAATGATTTCCTTCCAGTTCCATCTTTATAGTGAGACCAAATTCTGGTTTTGTTTCAGGAAGCCCAAAAGAACGATGCCATTCTTCTAAACTTTTCTGAAAAATTACATCATGTTCAGGAGGCTGCTAGGTAAGCAAGAAAGACTGAAAGTGAATTGTGAAGATTTAAGGTTGTGTGTTTTTTCAACTGCCTTCTTATGAAAACTGATGACTGTTTTATAACTTCTGGATTCAAGTGTGAACTTTTAAAAGTTTTGTCTTGTTGAACTTTCAGACCTTCTTTTCATTTGCTTACAGAGGTGTGTGTGTGTGTGTGTACACCTTTGGAATTTGGGGGTTTTGAAAAATTAATCCTTAGTTTTTTAATCTAAAAAAGACCTATTGCCATCTCTTCTAATGAATATCATCTGTGTAAAAAAAACAGGGATTAAGAACTTCAACTCCCTCCACACCCAAAAGATAGAGTTCAAACAACACAGCCTATTACCTTGGGAGCTGGTATATTGTCAGTCACACTGGCAGGGCCATCCATCACTGTTTTCGTGGTAGAATCTAACATGGTACATTTATTTTCTATTACATTAGAAGTTGGAACCATACCAAGGGCTGTGAAAGGATTTTGTCTTAAATTAGTCACGGCTTTACAGAGACAGTATCTACCAAGCATGGAGCTCCATGTCTAACACTTTAATTTGCTTCTGTTCCTAATGTAGTCATGTGTTTTAATGTAGCTCTGATCTGTGTCTACATGCTAGCTCCAGTTCTGTGTTTTCAAATTTACAGTACACATCCCGGCATCAAAGCAGTAAATGTTCAAAAACTAGCTTTTTAGGGGAGAAAAAAGGTCTGATTTGTATTATTTGTCGATTTCCATGGTGTAAATACTACTATCACGGCTGATTTCAAGCTACCAACGTGGTGTTACTAAAGCACAGTTGGGAAGAGATGCCTATACCCACGTCACCTCTTGTAATCTGGCTTCAGCCCACCCCTTCATCCGCCTCATTCACGGATTTATTTGCAATAGTCTTTATTGCATAGACTCATTATCTGAGTGACTATATCCAGTTAGGATGCAAACCACATGCATAAGCACATGAACCACAGCTCTGCAGGCCAAGCCCTGTCGTTGGCCAGTGTCTCTGTGATGACTGTGAACATCTAGCCACAGATGACATCTTTCCCAAAGTGGGATGATCAGTCAGTCCAAAGTGTGAACAGTTCGTAGTTCATGTTTACAGATCGCCAGATTATTCCCCCAAAAGAATGAGCATCTTTCTTATAAGATGTAAACTGTTTTCGTTTTGAATTACTTGAAGGAATCTGTATGGGAATATTTATTCCTCCGACTGGTATAGAAATGTTACTAAGAGAGAAACAGAGAAATAACCATTACTTTTTTTATTTTAATCTTTACCCAAGGATATGTTATTGTTCTTTTAATGGATTTTAGAGAGAGGAAGGGATTGAGAGAGAGAAACACTGTTCAGTTACCTCCCATATGTGCCCTGACTAGGGATCGAACTCACAACCTAGGGATGTGCCCTGACCAGGAATTGAACCCATAGCCTTTTGGTGTATGGGATGACACTCCAACCAATTGAGCCACCCAGCTAGGGCAACCAGTACAGTTTTAAACAGATATTTCAGAGTTAGATGGGGAAGTTTAGCTAGCTATTGTCTTAGAAAAAACTTATTCAGTAAGGTCTGTTTATTTGAAGTGGAAGATGAAGTACAAACAGATCATAGATGACCATTGAAGGCAGAAGACTTTATTGTAAAAAAAAAAAAAAACACACACACACACAAAAAAACCAAAACTGACAATGGCAGCATGAAAGCATCCTACTATATGAATTTGCTAATTGATTTTAAGGGTCGTCTGTGTTTACTTTACCAGGTGACAAAAACATCATTTCTGCCCTACCGATCTGGATTTGGTCTACAGTAAATAACAAAAGCCTTTGCATGATTGTTAGTTTTCTGTAAAATAGAGCGCTTTCCCTGTCTGTCAGTGGCCAGCCACATGATGTCCGCTCAGTAGCTCCGTATTACCCTTAATGTCAGGATTATCAGCACACACTGCCTTGCTATTCATGAGTTAGAACTTCTGTGTTTGTGTTTAGTGGCCAGAGGAAAATGCATCTGAGTCCTGCTAGCTTTTAGTTTTCCAATGCTTATTGCATAAAGGTGTTCAGACAAGCCCCATGGTTTTGGTTATCTCACCAGCAAGAACAGTTACGTATATTACAGCCTGTTTTCTTTGAGCCAGTGTGTGTCTTTAGGAAAGAATCTCCTCTTCAAAAAACAACATAAGCAACAACATATGCAGACCGACAGCTGTCAGAGGGCAGGGGAGTGGGGGGATTGGATGAAAGGTGAAGGGATTAGCTAAAGAACATGTATGCACAACCCATAGACACAGACAACATTGTGATGATGGCCAAAAGGGGGTGAGGGGGGGGACTGGGTGGAGGTGGGCAAAACCGGGGTGGAGGTGGGGGAGATGGGGACATCTGTAAGAGTGTCAATGATAAAAATTAAGTAATAAATAAGTAAAAAATATAGGAGGAAACTCTAAATACAGGGGTAGGTTAATTATTCGCAGTGGCTCCCTCCCCTTCTATTTGGTTTGTTTGCTTTTTTACAAATTTCTTTAATGTCTTCACTTAATAGTTGGACCCTTACAACTGCTTCTGCGTTCGAACTGATATGTGATAGTCAATTTGTGTTGCTTTTTTCCTTTACATTCAGTGTTTTGTATTAGCTTCAGGTGTGTCTGCCCTTCTGTTTCTAAGATTGACCAGCAGTTAGACTGGGTTGATGTACCCACGTGACACATGGCTTCCCCGTTGCCAACTGCCCGCTGTCCCCTTTCTTCTCCCAGGTTGTCTCTGGATAACACGGAGGCAGAGCTGCACTCGCTGTCTGTCAGGACGCGGTCGCTGAAGGAAAACATCCGGCGGGATGATGAGCTCCGTCAGCAGATGGAAGAGTTCCTTCAGGTCTGTGGGTGAAGCAAGTCAGTGCCTCTCATTTCGTCGTTCAGCAGCTCCCCGGGGCGGGGTGCGTGTGCATGGGCGTGTTCAGGGAAGCAGCAGGTTCCCATTCATATTTCCCCCCAGTCAGTAAAGGGAGCGTCTTAGTTCAGTGCCCATTCCTGGCTGGATTGTTTTTGAGCAGAAGATACTGAATGTGGCCTAAACTGCCTCAGCTAATTGTTAGGGAGCGGGCCGCCGTGTGTCACTGCTCGATGTGAAATGGTATCAGGTGAGGGTGCTCACTTACCCTGGCAATCAAGTTGCGGTTGTAAGTCGTGGTTTTGGGGTTCCCGACTCCCAGTCAAATGGGTGCGTAACAGAACCGCGAAGTTCCACAGAAATCGTAAAGATAACCTGAGAACCTGGAGTGTTGTCCCTTCGCTTGTGTTTACTAAAGGCACAGGCTGCGTTTTGGCATGTTTTATGTTAAGAGCAGGAGAACACGGTCGCTGTGCCTATCACCACCCGAAATCCATCAGCCCAAACAGGGTGTGTCAGGAGCTGCTCGGAATAACAACAGAAAACAGCAGAGTGGACCTGTTTGTGACAGCTCACTGTGACTCACTCATCACACAGTCTGACATCCTTCGTTTATCGTCCTCATTAAAAGGAAAGCGTGGCACCTTTTCATGCTCCCAACCTTCAGGGAAGCGGTGTGCTGCCTTAAATGTCAGTGCCTTAGATTTGCGAGGTGGAATCCAGGTGCCCGGGCTGCCCTTGGCACCGGGAAGGGACACTGTGCTCCGGAGGCTTGTTCCAAGCGAAGCCGTTACCCGTGTGCGCGTAATGAAGCTGCAAATATGATGCGCCTCAGCTCCCATCTGCAAACAGTTGGTTTTGTTTGGCTCGGTTGGGATTTTATTTTTTTATTATTAAACACGGGTTCTGTGCTTTCTTTGAAATATAAGCAGGCTCTGATTTTCCCCGTACAAGTACACAGATTTTTCTCAAAGTGTAAGAACAAAGCAAACAGCAGCACAGAGACACCTACCAGTGGGTAGGAAAACGCTCAGCAGGGAGCACATTCAGACAACGGGAGCCAATCCCGTAAGTCAAGGAGAAGGCCCACGTGCAGGACATGAGAGTTCCGGTTGCCTCGTTCCTCAGTTCTTATATTAAACATTAGTGTCGTATGCCAAATAGCCGGACAGAAAGGTCTTCCATGAAAAGCAGCTCTTTCTTAACTGCACCTCTGTCTTAAGGCAAACTTGTTTTAACTCTAAACGCTTCTTCCTGGCAGTCATTTTTAGCTCTGTAAATAAAAATGTTCCACCCAGCTATTTATTTATTTTTTTAAAATTCAATTTCTTTAAAGAGGGGGGTACAATTTTTGAGGGTAGGTTAGGGTCAGGCCAGCAAGGGCTTGGAATGCCAGTCTGAAAACTCTGGCCTTTTGTGCTCTAAGCCGTGGGGAGTCGCTGGAGATTTTGGAGCAGAAAAAAATGACAGGACCACCGTTTTGCAGATCTCTTTGGGACTTTTGACCCTTTGGGTGTGAAACACCAAGTAAACTGGTTTGGAACTTGGCTCCAGAGCAGACAAGTTAGAGATGGAAAGTGGAGTTTGCTACACTGCTAACCTGTTGTCATTCACGTTTTGCCAGTGTGGCTTTGGACTCTTTTGTTCCCGGCCCTGATCATGTGGGCAGGGTTCAGGAAGTAATGACTCTGAGCGTGGTGACTTGTCAGACCCATATTTGGACTATTTCACTTTCCCAGGTCCTGAGGGTGACTGCGGTGCACTGGTGTCATTCCTTCCCCGAGTCCTCTCAGTCCCCTCACACTCCAAGGATGCGGCCTATGAGGTGCAGTAAATGCCTGTGTAGATTCTTGTCAAGAGTCCTGTTTAACTGCAGTTGAGCTGTTCTTGGCTGGAATCCATCTTCCCTTCTGTAGAAGAATGACAGGCAGGGGTATATCCTTTCGTTAATACCCTTCTCTCCATAGAGAAAAATACACCGTGAGTGCACACACTGCCTTGGGCTGCTGGCGCAGATGGTTACTTTCTCTGGTATTTGGTCTCCTAAATAGTTTTGGTTCCCTGCATCCTCTTGAGTGTGTTTGGTGTAGGAAGAGGGCTTTTCAGGGGGAGAGTGTGTTGGAGTGAGTGAGAGGGGACGCATCTTCTCAGAACTTGTCTCTAGGTTCCGTAGCTCCAAGCAGGTCCAAGCAGGGCTTCCACTCCTCACGGGAGGGCAGCCTGTGTCTTCACCATTTCCCAGGCCTGTCCCCCACGCGAAGAAGTCTCCAACTACGTCTTTATGAAAGCATGATACGCGTGATTTCATAAAGTAATAACTCCATAAGTCCCTTCTTCATATAAGCCTTATAACCCAGTGGGAAAGAAAGCTGCATGAGGCTTCACGTGGTCCCCGTACTCAGTGCCCAGGGGGCTGGCTCCTCGGAGCACTCTGCTTCCTCATTTCAGCTCAACCTTTGTTGTCCCTGAGCCGCGTCAGGGAGTGTGGCTGTGCCCCTTGGCCCCAGCAGATCCCTTCCTGAAAGGGTTGGAGTTCATTGGAGGGAAGCAAGCTTCTTTCCCTCCCACTTCTTGGTTGAGGCAGTAGCCTGAACCTGTAGGGACCCTGGAGACTTTGTCCTAGAAGAATTTGGAGACCATGGAGAAGTAAAGAGGGTGGATTTGTACAGGCAGAAATTCTTAACCGTGGCTACCTATCACCATTTCCTGGGGAAGTTTTCATAAGATATGCAGGCTGGGTCCACCCCACAGCTACTCAGTGGCATGGACTGTAGACCCAGCACCCCAGCTGATATAGATGAGCACCCCTGGCTAGGAAGCCCTTGCTGGGACCTTGGTCAAGGCACGAGGGCTTCAGTCTTAGGGGGTGACCCTGACCCTGACATGGCTCATTTGGAATTAAGTTTAACTTCCCTGCCAACAGGGCAACTCATCAATAGGACAGTGACTTCTAGGACCCTAAAGTAAACCTGGCCAGTATAACACCCAGTTTTAAGAGAAGGAAGAACATACAGAATATGAATATTGGTATTTATATAAATATTAATAAAATCAAGTGTACACCTATGTCACTTTTTCAGTGACATTGAAGGTGAATGTTTCATTGGTGACATTCTACAGGTGAAGGCCCTTCCATCTCTTCTGTTGCTCCTAGGCCTCACCCAGGAGCTCACCTTGCTTCCCCGAAGGTTTTGTTTGGGTTGAATTATTGTCCTTTTGGCTCTGAGCACATTGGACTCGCAATAAGCCTTCCCTTTTCCGAGACCTGAAACTGAACCCGGGAGCACCCCTCCCCTGGGCACCAGCCTGCCCGCCGACTGCTTGCCTCAGCGTGTGCTTGTCTGTCTGCCCGCAGTTTGCTGTAGAAAAGCTGACCGAACTAGAACACTGGAAACGGGAGCTCCAGGACGAGGCCCACACCCTCATAGATTTTTTCTGCGAAGACAAAGAAACCATGAAACTGGATGAGTGCCTTCAGATATTTCGAGACTTTTGCACCAAATTCAGCAAAGCGGTTAAGGTACGGCAGATGGCATCTCTGTTCGGATTTTTATTTTTCTTCTTCCAGACCCAGCCAGCTCTCTGCCCATGGCAAGGAGATGGTTGAGCTTTTATGGGGGTTCAGGAAGGTCGGGCGCCAGCCTCTCGGTCAGGATGAGGAGGAAGTGGTTCTGCCACCCCAGGCCCAAACGCTTCCGTATCATCAGGTGCCCAGCATGTGGGGACAGCGGTGGTGGGTGGTAGGTGCCAACATCTGCAGCTCTGAGGCTCAGAACATTACCTACTTGAATGCCCTGAAAGCATTTTGTTAGTAAGATTTATTTATGATGGCCGTCACCATATTGAAAAGTATCTTCAAAGATCCTGAAAGTCTTTCTCAGCCCCTCCCCAGGAGAACATATCCTTTGCCAGGAGACCTTGGTCGCAGTGGGCTGACCATAGAGCCCTCTGTCACTGTTTCCAGCCCCATGGCCGTCGCCAGGGGTTGGTGCCACGGGAACCAGTCTGTCCTTGGCCAGGGCCGACTTGGAAATGCTCAGATATCTAGGGAAGGTGCTCTGCTGTCTGAGTCCACCTTACCCTCCAGCCATCAATTCCAGTCATCTCTGAGCTCATTGCAGAAGCCAGAAAACTCTGGGTTGCTTGGCTTTGTAAATAAAACTTTCATTTCAATGAAAAACAAAGCACCTCACCTCCCTTCCTTTCTGGTGGTGCTGAGAAACCTAATACATGTACACCATCTCTTCCTCTATATTTCAAAAGCAGATTTGCCCGTAGCTGAGTTTCTTTGAGGGGCTGGTCCAGTTTCTCTCCAGCCAGAAGTGAATAGACCAGAGTTCCTTGATTTCTCGGTCCCTCCGTCCTCTGTCCAGCTAAACGAAGGAGGCTCAGCCTCTGGCCACGCTTACGCTCCCTTGTCCCAGCAGTGAGCTCAGCAGGGGAAGCGGTGGTGGGTGGTAGGTGCCAGATTGGCTCTTGCTGAGGCCCTCACTCCCAGTTGGAATCCTATAGGCTCTCGGGGCCACCTGTGTGATGCTCTCAGCCCAGCTGCCCCGAGAGCAAGAGCTGGCCCCTCCCCCGGCACTGGCAGCCAGCTGGAGCCAGAGCCTCACAGACACTTGGACAGGAATGTCCGTTTGCAGAAATGGACCTTCAAGTAAAATGTGCTACCGATAACAGATTTGGGTGGTGATTTCCACATATTTCCATGACAGGAGTACATTCAAAGTGCACAGCCAGGCAGTAAAGTGTGCTTGGTTGTATGCATTTGTCCTGTCCCAGAGGACTGGCCACTCGGAGCAGGGTGGAAGGTGGAGGATTTGTAAGGCAAATCCTTCTCTCTGGTTGTGGGAAGGGCATGGGGCACAAGGGACCAAGCCACCCTGGCATTTCTGGTGTTTGTTTGTTTTTGTGTGTGTGGTTTTTTTTTCTACCAGGGAGCAGCCAGAGAACAGAGATTTGAAAAGCCTCTCGTAATATCTTGGGTGTACATCAGTTATGCATCCATACCCCCACTAGGTAGAATGTGCTGCACAGCAGTGAGTGTGTGTGTGTGTGTGTGTGTGTGTGTGTGTGTGTGTACCCATGCAAGGACCACATGGGCTTTCCTTGGAGTTGAGGTCACAGGTATAAGTGGAGTCACAGCCCACACTGCGGGGTCAGTGCCTTGACCAGAAAGCTGGAAGTTAGGCCCAGGCATCTGATGACAACCTTAGACAGACTTTTGGGGCCAGAAGTAGTGTCTCCTCTGGTCACCCCCACGTAGCTCTGGAAGAACCCAGCCCCCCCACACAAGGGCAAACGCACAGTCTCCCCTTGATGCCCGTGGCCCAGTCTCTCCTCCACCATGTGTGTCTCACTGGGGTCTCAGGGTAGGTGGCTCTGGAATGGCACAGGGGTCCCAGGTGTCTGATGCATCTTTGGGCTTCTCTCCACTCCTCGTTCAGGACAACCACAACCGGGAGGTACAGGAGCTGAGGCAGCTGCGGCGGCTGCAGGAGCTGGAGCAGAAGCGGCATTCCTGGGCGACCGGGGAGCTGGTGGGATTCGGCCGGAGCAGCAGTGAGAATGACGTGGAGCAGCTGGGCAAGAAGGGTGCGGAGGACCTGCCCCCCTTCCTGCGCCGCAGGCCCATCAGCCCCTCCTGCCGACGCCCCAACACCCGCCGCTCCCGCCTCTCCCTGGGCGCCTCCGCTGACCGGGAGCTGCTGACCTTCCTGGAGAACTCCGTGGGCAGCCCTGAGGAGGCCAACAAGTTCAACAGCTTGCCCCGGAGCAGCCCTCGGCAGGCCCGGCCCGCGTCGGCCTGGAGGGAGTCTGGGGAGCTGAGGGACCAGGGCTCTGGCCGCACACACAGACCTCAGGCCTCTGCAGGCCAGGAGGGAGCCCCCGACCCACCCTCGGCTTCCTGTGGCCAGCTCCTCGCGCCCCAGATGGAAGACTCTGCTCCAGTTTTGCTCCGAACTCGGCGTAGCGGGCTCAGCATGCTCCAGAAGAGGAACAGCGAGCCTGTGGGCCTGGCATCTCCCTGGTCCCCTCCACTCTCGCCACTGGCTCTGGGAATTAAGGAGCACGAGCTGGTGACCGGGCTGGCCCAGTTCGACGTCCAGGGTCCCAAGGACCCAGAGGAGACGCCCCAGTGGAGCCTGACCAATGTCAGTCCAGGGGAGCTGGCGTCTCCGGGGAATGGGAGCCTGCAACCCCTCGGAGCTGACACTGGTGCTGGCATTGATGCTGGCATTGATGCTGGCAACGGTAGCCTGATGCCTGTGGGTACAGGTGCCCAGGAGAGTCTCAGCGCCCAGGAGAGTCTCAGTGCCCAGGAGAGTCTCAGTGCCCAGGAGAGTCTCAGCGCCGCCCTGCAGGGTGACGGCGTGGCCCCTGACGAGCCCAGCATCAACCCTGAGAACAAAGACGCTGGGCCTCTGTTCTACTTCTCGGATACCACTGACTGCTCGCTGACCTTGGACTGCTCAGAGGAAACCAATGCCAGGTCTGGGGGTGGGGAGCTGGGGGAGGCCGGCCAAGGGGATGGCTCTGTGTCCTCTGGGGCAGGGGAGGCGGATGGCAGCCAGGTGTCCTCCAACCCTCTCTCCAGCCCCCCTGGGGAGACCCCTGCTCCTGCTTCTGCAAAGACTGGGCCCAGCTGCAGGGGTGGCCTTTCCAGAGACAGGTCCTCCAAAGGGAAGGAAGTGACCACACCAAAGAGAAACTCCCTCAAGGAGGCGTCCCAGGGAGCCCCCAAGCCTGGGGCTCCCCCGCGAGGCCAGGGGACGGCGCCCAAGCCCGTGCGGACCTTGACCTCCTCGGAGAGCGAGAGCATGCGCAAGGTCGTGCCCATCTCGAGGGCCAGCAGGGGCTCCTCCGGCTGGAAGCAGCCGCCTCGGGAGCCGCCCAGCGGCACCCAGGAGCCGTGGTCACGCCGGAACTCTGTGAAGGACACCTCGGACACGTCACCCAAGAGGTCCTCGAAGGGGCCCGGGGTGGTCGCCGAGGTGACCGAGGAGCAGGAGCAGAGGCCGCTGCGAGGGAGGGTCGGCTCCTGCGGCACCCGGCCGGGCAAGGAGCCCGCCCTGCAGCCCAGGGGCTCCCTCAAGAAGCCCAGCGCCAAGCCCCTCCGGAACGTCCCCAGACAGAAACCCGAGGAAAATAAGATCTGCCGCTCCAATTCCCAGGACCCCCAGAGCCCGGGAGAAGAGCCCAAGCCGCCTCCACCAACCCCCAGCGTCCCCCGTGTCCCGTCCCAGGTCCCAGGCTTTGCCCGAAACACAGTAGCCTCCTCATCTCGGTTCATGAAAACAGATTCTCTCCCGGTGACCAAGGCCCCTGGCCTCACGCGGACCGTCTCCCACCGGCAGCTGAGGATGAAGGGTGGCTCTGAGGATGCGGTCCCCAAGGACAGCGGCACCCTGCGGCGGGCCAACAGCTCCCGGGCCCCCAAAAAGTGTCCTGAGCCAGCAGAGGGGCCCGGTGCCAACACGGAGGCCTCTCTGAAGGGCAGGGGGACGGGGGAAAGGACCTCCTTCAGGCAGAAAGACTCCGGCCGGACCACACTGGGGAAAATCCTCCACCCCTTATGGAAGTGACGGGTGCCTGTCCCCCCTCACCTCCTGGCACGTCATGCGGACTGACTGCTGTGAAAGGCCAACGCCGAGTGACTCTTCTACATCAAGGGAATCGCCGGTGCCACCTGCTAGTGCTCCTGTCGCTGAAGGTACCCTCTGGGAGGCCTGTGGGCTGCCACCTGCAGCGCCGACTCCTGCCGTCGAGTTCCCATGCACCCCCGTCCTGGACCAGCACCTCCCGCACACACCCCCAAAGTGTGCACAGGCACCTCTACGCCAAAAACAGACTCGGGCGTGTGAGATGGCATTCGTACGCAACAAGTAAACAAGGAATTCTGGCCAGTTTTTAGAAATCAGAGGCTTATTTTTCAATATAAAAATTCAGTGTTTTAGTTGGTTCCTTTTGCAGAGTGAATGGGAAAAAAAGACAGAAGAAAAACTGCTTTGTATGAAGATGTTTTCATCTTCCTGTGTCCTTGGTCTCGGGGTTCCACCTGCCTGCACACCGACCATTGCTGGCAGCTCGGCTTCGCCATGAGCCCTGGGCGTCCTGTGGTTGCACCGAGTCCGTGAGACTCTTCCTGGCTCACCTCTCCCTGCCTGACTTGGGATGAGGGTTTGCGTGTGAGCAGGAGGGAAAGTGAGCCTGGTGGGTGGAGACCGGTGCTCCTGTGGCTCCGTGTGGGCACCGTGGGCAGCGGGACGTGCGTTTTGGGGGCCTGTGGCTGCCGGGAGCGCTTCCCTGCGGACGGGTGGCAGGCAGCCCCTGGGAGAATGCTGCATCTTTCAGGGTGTAGAAGTGCCATATTTTCATGGAACGTCATGGGGCTGCTCAGCAGATCACACCTCTCCCATCCCACGTCTTCGCATTTGTGTTTCTGTTGTACGACTGAGTAACGGCTGCTACGACTTGTGTTCGCTCTGGTTACAGGGGAGGAAAAACCTTTCTGTCTCCCAGTCTTTCTTCTCCGTCTTCTCTTTGCTCCCAGCCTCCTTTGCTCATGTGACCTGAAACCTGGCGTGTCTCTCTCTCTCTCTCTCTCTCTCTCTCTCTCTCTCTCTCTCTCTCTCTCTCTTTCTCCCTCCCTTCCTCCCACCCCCTCTCTCTCCCCCTCTCCATTCCTCCTTCTCTCTCTCTCTCTCTCTCTCTCTCTCTCTCTCTCTCTCTCCTCTCTCTCTCAACAGTAATACTTACAAATGTTGACGTCTATTCTTTGGTATAGTGGTTTTGAAATCCTGAGAAAAACCAAATCAAGTTTTTAAAATCAGACTAAAAAGAAAATAACTGTTAGAAGAATTTGTATCATCAGGGACAATTTGGAATAAAGGCCTTCGTGCAGAGGAAAGGTGTGGGTGGGGGGACACTTTTTTCTACCCGGTTCCCACTTCACTAGTTCCCTCTGAGACTACTTGGGAAATAGGGGAATTCTTGAAACTTTTTTATTTTTTAAAAATTGCACCCCCCCCCCCATTTTTGGTCACTTATTAGTGAAACCTCATTTCAGATCCAACAGTGGTAGACGGATTTAGGCAGATAAGATGTGTTACAATCTCCCTCCCGTACAGTTTTGCCTCCCAACCAAATTAATTGGAAACTTGACTTCGATGAGTCCGCTAAGTTGAAGGGGTAAACTTTATGGTAGAAGAAGTTAGGCACCTGACCACAAAACCTCTTACGGAAATAGCCCTGAGTAGGTATTTCCGGGGCTCCGCAGAGATGGTTAATGGGAATCCTGAATTGTTTCTCACCATCTCAAAAAGCCGGAGAAATCATTTATTTAACCATGCAGACCACAGCGGTCAAAACATAGGGCCCATGGGTGGATGGGACATGGATGAAAGAGGTCAAAAATTTGTGGATTTGTGGATAGAGAGGGGGTCAGGACTCCTGGTGAGACTCTAGGGACCAGGGATCGAGTCCCTCCCTGTTCCATCGCTGATACTAGTACCTTGGGCAAGCCACTCCCTGTCCCTAAGCCTCTGCTTCCCAGTCTGCAGCAGTGGGGGCATGGCCTCCATGATGGTCTCCAGGGGTCCTTCTAGCTACAGCAGTCGGAGTCATAAACACCCAGGGACCAGCTCTGCCCTGGGATCAGCTTCTTAGAACCAACCCCCCGCATCTCTTCAGCAGAGGCCTCCTGCAAAGGCCTGCTCAAAACACCTCCAGAATGAGTCGTCGCTTTGAAACCCACTCAGCCACTTTCCTGAGAAGTGGTGTTTTAATTTACTTAGCCCTGTGGACAACTTCTGTGTTTGCATCTGTACGAGCAGGTGATCATTCTATTACCTTTTATCGGTAGTAAGCTTGGACAAAATAATTTAAGTATATAATGGAGAAGTGTAAATAAGTTTCTATATGAAATTGTTTAAGATGAACAATTAAGATGTATTTAAAGGTCCATTTATATGTTCTTTTACGTAACACGTACTTAAATAAAGTTCCTGTTTATGGGATTGTGTTCTTTCCTTGGTGTGTGTGTGTGTGTGTATGTGTGTATGTGTGAGAGAGAAACCCTGGCAGGAGAGGAAGGCAGGATGCAGGAGGTAGGAGAGGGTTGGAATACAAGTCTTGTTCTCAGAAGGTTCAAGAGCCAAAAGTAGGCTGTTGGTGTGTCTCCTTATTAGCAGAGAACCTGCGTTTAACTGAGGGCCTTGCGCCAGGCCTGTGGGAAAGCAGGCATGCAGCTGACAGGCAGGCCATCGGTGGAATGTTCAGCACCTCGTACATGCTCACATTATTCCACGTTTGGGGCCAAGTTTTGTGTAATCTCCATGGGGCCGGCAAGTCTGGATCTGCTGCTGTGTGTCCTCGTGTGCTTTGGCTCAGGACACTATTGGGAAATCACAGCTCACTTCTGAGCGGCCTCAGGAATGAGCAGAGAGGGAGGAAGGTGAGGTTTTATTTCAAATGCAGGGTTGATGCTTCTTTGAAAGGAAAGGTGGGGAGGGGGGGGCATCTGTGAGACCCACCTCATACCTTGGGGTTTCCTATCAGGTATTAGGCCTGGCTACTCTCTTGCTTTTTCTGGAAATGGTTAAAGGAATAGCCTTGGGTCAGGCACCCGTGGGTGAGAGCGTAGATGACGTCCTTGTGAGTTGCTGCTTGCCCGGTGACATTTAGAACCTGGCTTTGCCTGTTAGAGCCTTTTCTTTTCCCAGTGGGTCTCAAGCAGTTTTCTTTTTACCCTCTTATTTTAGGACTTTCCTTACGGGAGGACCCTGTGGTGCAGTCCTCCTCCTGAAGATAGGTGTTGAGTTCAAAGGGACCACAGTTTCCTAATGGTTCGTTCCAGATTCTGAATGTTTATGTATTATGGTGAGAGGCTCTGGAATAGTTTGGTAGAGCTCTCTTTTTAAACAAACAAACAAACTATATATATATATATATATATATATTTCAGAGAGGAAGTGGGGAGAGAGAGAGAAACATCAATGATGAGAGAAAATCATTGAACGGCTGCCTCCTGCACGTCCCATACCTGGGATCGAGCCCACAACCCGGGCATGGGCCCCGACCAGGAATTGAACCGTGACCTCCTGGGTCATAGGTCAATGCTCAACCACTGAGTTACACCAGCTGGGCAGTTTGGGAGGACTCTTGAGTCAACCTTCCAAGGTGTGCAAATGACCAACTTTTACCTCTAAGGGTGCGGAATCCCCCCATCTCCTCCCATCTGGCAATGGTGACATTTTGCAATTTCACAGAATTTTCTATTGAAGCTTAAACTTTATTCTTAATTCTTTATGATACTCGCCTCGTGCTCCAGTCTTGTAAAAAAAAAGAGAGATTTTTTGTTGTTGTTGATATGTGTCTCCAAACACACATAAACGTCCAATTTGAGTAAGGGACATTGCATTTGGTTCATAAATGCTTTTAAACAGTTATTTGTGCCCTGAGCACAAACAGAATGGGAGACCGTGGGTCTGCAAGTCATGCTACTCAGCATCGATGGGCTGAGCTGGGACTGACTCTGTGACAGGGTTGAAAACAACCCAGCGCAACCTCTCCCTAGGGCGTTTTTCACCTGCAAACATCTTCCAGTAAAATGTCCTCTGGGCTCACTGGATCCCTCAGTGAAGATAAAAGCAACATTCCTGCCGTTGAAGATAATGGCTTTTCTGTCTTCCAGGCCAGAGCTCTGCAATAAGGCATTTGGCTTCCTGGTTGGTAGGTAGGAAAATTGGACCCCACTGCAAGAGCGATCAAGATGCCAAGCAGCCCTCACAATCTACTCATTCATGGGCCCTTGACTCAGAACCCACCAAGAGCCTGGCACAACCTGCCCGTTGGGCTGTGGTACGAAGATGGCTGAGCCTCTTAATGAGGATGCTGCTTGAGGTCCCTATGGGTGCATTCATGCCCAACCTTTGGAATGTGGGCCTGGGCTTTGCCCCAAACTCCTCAGAGATATTCAAGGGCTGAGTCACCCAAGCACTCCCTAACTCACAGGCAGATGATGTTCCCCAAGTTTGCTTGCAATCAGATATGAGTTCAGAGTCACTTTCCCAAAGCAACGATGTCATGCATTACAGGTAGGTTTCCACAACAGCCTATTGTCCGCCCGTGGTGGACTGTGGCACCGACGTTTCCATAGGAGAGAACCTCACTTGTAGCCGAGTCCCTAAGGAAAACACCAAGGTGCCGGGAACATTCCTCCCCTCCTTCAGGACATCAGGTAGAGGCTACTGCACTGCAGCCTGAGCACCAGTAATGTCCACTGTCCACTGCTTGATAAGAAAAGGCCTCGCCACTCTGGAGGTCAGACACAGGGGCTCCCATCTCCTAGGCCACCTCCAGTGAATGCAGGCCATGTTTCTACCAGAGACACCTGCCTCCTGTGCTTCCTCACAGCGCACACCCAGCAGAGAGGCGTACACCCTCTGCTTTCAACTGTCCAGGAGGGAGGCGGGACTAACCACACTCCCTTTGCCTCCAGATCATTAGGGAGAAGGACAGCTGGGAGCTGGGTCAGTAGACCACTTTAGTGGGAGCTGGACGTTTGCTGCCCGTGGGGAGCTCTCTGAGGTGCCCCTGACTTCTGACAGCATGGGAGCATCTAATAGCCCCCCCCTTTCCCACAGGGGGATGTACTCCAGTGTGTAACAGCCCCATCCCAGACCTCAACCAAGTCAGAATCTGGTAGGGCCCCCAAATTTGCATTTTAGGTAACTCCCCAGTGGTTCCTTTTTCACCCTGCTGTTGAGAACCAGTGGGCTGGAGCAAGGCCAGAGGCTGGGGTTCTTCTGTGGGGCTATGAGCTGTCCTCAGGCCCAAGCCCCTCTCCGAGCCTGTCAGGCCACACAGTGTCTCCTGGACAAGCGAGGCAGAGACTGGCTCTGACCTCAGCGCCGGGTCAGGGGGAGAGCTGCCTCCTTGGAACCCGAGCAGATGGTCTAACTTCATCTTAAAACAGGAGTGCCTCCGGTTTATACGCTTGGCCACTCCCCCAAGCCTGCAGTTCTGGGTGACGTAGCATCCGAGCTTAAGAACAATGGCACCAGCGGGACATAGGAAGTGACGCTTCATGAGACTTGCCATGGCTGCCCTTTCGAAGATTGCAGTTCGGTATCTATGAAGCAATTTGCTAATAAGTGCTGCACAATGTCACACCCATCTGAGTGTCCACGTGAGATTTTGTCAGCAGAGCTGCTCTTAGGAGCCCTGTTCCCTGGGTTTCCACAGTCTCCACCAGCATGACTTCAGCTCGGTTCTCAGGAGCATTGCCTCGGGGCTGCGGTTCCTGCTTGCTGTGTGTCCTGGGGCCAGGCAGGCCAGCATCTGTGCTGACCTCACCGGTTAGGAAGGGGGTGGGGCGCAGCTCTCCAGGGTGCTGACTCAGTGCGGGCTGGGAGCAGTGTGCAGGCTCACGTGCTGCATTCTAAATACGGGCAGGAGAAGGGACTCTGGCAGGACCCTCCTACCCCCACCCTCATTGAGAGAGTGGAAGTGTTTCCAGGAAGGAGGACTGGGCCCTGGTGCTCTCCAAAGCTGTCAGCACGGATTAATCTACCTCTCAGCACTTTAGGCCGCAAACTGCTCTGCATGAAACAGAGAAAGTTGCTGAGAGAGTCTGGACCAGTCTTACCACTTGTAGGGACAGCCATCTTGCCGGTGTGGGCAGGTGCCATAGAGGGGTTCGAGCCGTATTTGGATTCACACGATGACTCAGCTCTGGAAGTGGCCCCGGCAGAAAGAACAGTGTCTCCATTCAGCTGCGGCTGAACGGAGACGTCAGCCTCCCTGTCAGCTGTATTTTCCTCTTTCCCAGGGCACCAGTGGTTCCCACCAGCTGACTCATCCCAGGGAGGAGAGGGAAGAGGAGGGCTGCCTCCAGGGCAGGCTTCTTGCTGCCAATGAGAGACAGACAGCAGAGTGGCTCCCCACCCCCACAGGGCCTCCTACTCCCAAGTTCAGGTTTGACTTCAATACAGTAGAAATAAGTCGCTAGGTCAGCACCTGGACAAGATGCCCAGTGCTCCCAGCTCTTTCCCAAGGCCCTGCTTTTCTCAACCAGCTCATAATGGGTTGAACTCTGGCTAGCTATTTTCTCCCAAGAAACTCACAGCTTTGCAAACAGTTACTCAGCACACACTCACCATCCCAGTGGCCCAGAACTTGTCATTCCCACCTTTCAGTGCAGGAATTCATTCTGGGAGAGGCGAAAGGGAAGCGTGTGGGCCGGTGGTCTCCCGTGGCTGCCCCAAGCACCATTTTGGCCATAGTCATGGAGCAATAGCACCCAACGTGAGGCCAGCTGGTCAGTCTACATCTGTCCAGTCCTCTGCCCAGGACACCTTACAGGATGAACCCTGAGGAGCTGGAGCATGATGGAGAAGAACGACTGGGACAGCCAGGACCTGCGCACCAGGCATGCGGATGAGGCTGCCAGGGTGGTTCAAACTGTAAAAGGACAATAAAAACCTGGTGACAAGATGAATCCTACTCTGTGCTCTTCCAAACCAAATGGAAATAAGTCACCAGGGACAGGAGGAGTTCACTCCAAAGCTATTTGTCTATCTCCTTGGAGGACTCTGGACCTGGGAAATGACAACCAGATATATTCCCAGGGGATGTTGGAGAAATGGATGGGCTGGGTGCCTGACCTCCACTGGCAGCTAGGGCACATCCTGCTCTGCCATCTATTAGCTGTGTGATCTTGGGCAAGGGGCTTCATACCTCTGCTTGGGAATCATAGCCCTGTGTAACTTTGAGCAGTCCTGAGGGCTAGATGACTGTGTTAAGACAGTGTATGTATTTGCCATTTATCACTATTCTGGGTCAGAGCCCCACCTGGCAACTTCTCAGGGCAGTGGGTCCTCACCTGGGCTCTGTCCCTATCTGGCTGTGTGACCTTGGACAAGTCACTGAACTCAGCTTTGCCTCTATTTCTGCTCCCTCTTCCAGCGACATAAGCAAGCCTGGGCTCCATGACAACTGACAGCACCTATATGGC